GAAAGCCATCCTGTTCCCTAGTGTGATTTGGTGGTTTGTAGCAGACACCAACCAATAGCCCATCTTGTGTTTTGTCTGTTAGGACATTGATTTGTAAGCATTCAAGATAATTTCCTTCCAAGTTACCAGTGACTCAGAAAGAGGTAATGCCATTTTGGTCATAGAGTGCCACTCCCGCTCTCCATTTGCCTACTCAATCCTTCCTAAATAGGTTATAGCCATTGATTTTAACATTCCAGTTGTGCAAATCATCCCATCAGGTTTCAGTAAGAACCGCTAGACTGAATTTATGCTCATAAACGGGCAATTCTAGTTCCTCTTTTTTGTTACCCAGGCTCTTAGCATCGGTGTAAAGGCAATTCAAGAATTTCTTCTCTTCATGTCCTTTGGATCCTTGATTAATATTGTCCTTAACATCTTGCTTTTGTGCTAAGTGAGTGCTCCTATCTTCCCTCTTTTTACCCTCCCCTTTTGCTATTAAACTAGTGCCAGTATATTCCCTGCCATTTCCCTATACCTGTACCAGAGGGGATGGAGGGGGTGTAACACTAAACTTCATAGCAACATGGAACAGAACACCCCCTGCTCCGACTCCTCCATACTCACCATGGTTTGAGATAGAGTGGTGCTGTAGTGAGGCTCTCCAAAGCCACAGTGGCAATAAAGCATTTCTTATTAAAAGTGTTTATAGGAATGACATAAGGCAGTTTTGAGACTTAGCTTTTCTTTTCCATTGTGAGTATAAATCTAATGGTGTATCTGTCTGGTTTTATCAGCAGCTTCTGGTGTGATGGCCTTGAGGGTTCCCCCGCACTGAACATCTGACCCTGATCAAGAGGAGAAGGAAGAGGATTAAGGAGTGTAGGTTATGCAAGATCCATCCTCCCAGCCACAGTTGCCTTGGACCATGATCAAAGGGCTTGGCAGTGCCCTTCAGAACGGGAACAAGGAGAAAGACTGAGAATGGAGAGGGTGGTTGCTGCAGAAGATGCAAAAGAACCAAGAGGTGCATCAGGAAACGTACCAGGACGTAATGGGGTTGCTCAGGCAACAAACACAAATGTTGCAGAGCATGGTTGACCTACAGGCCCAGAGATCCCAGGCCCAGCAGCCTTTGCAGTCCTTGGAGAACTGCATGGTCCCTGCCCCCAACAACTCCCACCATACCACATGGCACCACAGTGTATATCCTTACACCTACCACTCCAACCGGGGGACAACAAGGAGAACCAAAGCTACACACATACCGACCTGAGAAAACTAGTAGTCACAACGGACTACATTGAACTACTGTTTACTTACATGGACATAAATGTTTATTGTTTACTTCCATTTTCACCTGGTTTTGTAAACTGTGTTTCCCCCTCTTAACAGTGCCGGTAAAAAAAAATAGCCTTGTATGCCTTTGTTTGCACTTTAATTTGGTTAACTGCTATTTTCCACATAGTTTTTGGAAAGTCTCAGTATCTTTATTAGTTCACACCAGGCACTGCAAAACACATAATGGGAGGCAAAGACACAATGTACATCAAGCGTTCCAGAATTCATAGTGGCAGGCTTGGACCAAACCAATATATAATCTAAAACACACGACAGACACTATTTCATGAAAGCTGTGCTATGGCTGACTCTTGACATGCTCTTTTAAAGCCTCCCTCAACTGCACAGCACTGGTGGTAGCCTTTTTCCCTTCACCTCACAGATATTACGTAGGTCACAACATGCAGCTATAACCATTGGGGTGTTTTTCTTGCTGAGATCCAATCTATTGAGATCCAATCCAGCGTCCCTTCAATCTACCAAAAGCACATTCAACAGTCATGGGGCACCTGATGAGCCAGTATTTGAATCTTTCCTTGGTGCTGTCGAGGTGGCCAGTGCACAGCTTCATGAGTAGGGGGAGTAAGGGTCACTATTGACATTTCAATATTGCCAATGGTAATCTGCCAGTCGGGGAAGAATGTCCCTGGTTACAGTTCTCTGAATAGTTCTGTGTTCTTAAAAATGTGTGTGTCATGCACCTTCCCTGACAAGCCTACATTGTTATCTGTGAAATGTCCCTGATGATCATGAGCGCTTTTATGATGATGGAAAAGTGGCCTTTTCTGTTGATGTGCTCTGTAGCAAGGTGGGTTGGTCCCAAAATAGTGATATGCCTGCTACCTATCACCCTACCGTAGTTTGGGAACCCCATTGCTGCAGATCCATCTGTGATGTTCTGCACATTGCCGAGTGTCACAGTCCGATATAGCAGGAGACATTTAATGGCTCTACAAACTTCCATCACTATGGCCCAAACTCTGGGTTTTCCAGCTCCAAAATGATTTCCCACTGACCAATAGCAATTCAGTGCTGCAAGCTTCCAGAGTGCAAGTGCCACACTCTTCTCCACTGTCAATGCAGCTCTCATTCTGGTGTCCCTGTGCTGAAGGGCTGGGGCGAACTCGGCATGCAGGTCCAAGAATGTGGCCTTTTGCATTCAAAAGTTTTACAGCCAGTGCTCATCATTTTAAATGTGCATTATGACAATGCAGTTCCAACAGTCGGGACTCACTGTCTACCAGGTGAAGCTGCTCCAAAAATGCCAGCAGCAACCTGGAAGGTTTTTTCACTGTGCCCATTAGCTTCTAGTTACTGTGCTCGAACATCTCCACATTGTTTTCATCTCAGTCCTAATAGTAGCAGTACTTCCTCAAGCTGTGCACATACTGGACAATGATGCTTCCTGGATGTATTAGCAACGCACATAAGAACTGTGATGAGCTCTGCAGGCTCCATGCTTCTGTCAGAGTGATGGTGGAGACCAAAAAGTGCTGCGTGGGACTGTGGGAGTTTTGAAAAATTATTGGATGTGGCAGGTAGTATGGGATATAGAAACCTGCATGTTAGGAACTTGACCTGTAGCTCCCAGAAATTCCTGGGCACTTTGCTACTATCCCACAAAGCACTGTGAAAAGGTCCCAAAAGGCACTGCGTCACACAGCAGTGTGGGGCACGCTGGGATATCTATCCAGTGCACCGCACTTTGCATCGACACAAGCACTCCTGGTGAGTATGGGGAGCGCTGACACAGGAAACCAAGCATGCATACATCTGAGCGATATACAGACTTCAGTGATTGTATGCCAACATAATTTTCATTGACTGAACTTTGCAGTATAGACATGGCCTAGAAGTTGTGCTTACATACCGAGGTTCTGGCCACTTTGCACTAGTCAGGTGGTTTAAAGTGGTGGAATCTGGCTCTAAGAGACCAGCTGATGATTTCCCTGGTGTAGGGAAGTTCTCAGCTGTTTTAAAGTGGTGTAGCTGGGTCCTACATCATCTGCCCCTATACATCCTGACATAGAGGCTGGGAGCGGGTGAGATGTAGTGTCTGCTTAATTCACTACTAGGATATAGTGTCATAGCAACCATAACCAGTTGTCAGAAGTTACAGCAGCCCCTAAGCTGCTCCAACGTATGCCAATGGGCAGGGCAGGCACAATTGCTCCAGGAAAATCAGGGAGGCAGAACTTGTTCCTGACAGCTTCTCCCGTCCCTTAGAACAGGTGAAAATTTGGCCACAGCACTTCAACATTAGACCATTTTTTTCTTAACAAAAATTTCTCTTTCTACTTATCTGACTCTCCTGTTTTCCCTCCCCCCAAAAAACCTAATTTAAGGTCATATTCTAATACTTGACTCATATATTTTTAGACAGTAAGTAAAGTAGATTATCTCCTACTTTGTGATGGACTGTTTTGCCCTCCCTCATGTACAACGTTTCACAATAATACAGTGATGACGAGTGTCCACCTTCCTCTGAAGCACTAAATATTGGACACTGCTGGAGTCCATTTGACGAACCAGTAATCTGATCAAGAATGGCAAATCCTGTGTTCCCATGAAGAACAACTTTATGATTTAAAGTACTGAAAAATTACTATCAAATGGCACTGTGGAGTTCCAAGTTTGTATTTGTGACTTTGGAATCAGTTGTGCTCAGTTTGCAGTAAATAGATTGATTTTTCTAGCCCTGCAAACTCAGCCTGGGCTCTGAAAGTCAAAGTGGATTCTCTCCATCACACACATCATCACCAACAATAAAGAGCCCTACAGGCCAAATTAGCCCTTGGGGTGTATGTCTTCACTGCAATTGGAGATGTGATTGCAGCATGTGTAGACATGTCTGAACTAGCGTTGATTTAGCTAGCTTAGGTGGCAACTGCAGCATGCACTAGCTGCCAGAGACCGTACCCAGATTCACTGCGGGGCTTGTACTTGGGCAGCTAGCCCATGCTGCCACGGCTTCACTGCAGTTGGTACCTGGACTAGCTAGTTCGAAGCTGGCTTGTGTATGTCTACACATGTTGCAGATAGACCTCCAACTGTGGTGTAGACATACCCTTAGTTACACCTGTGCAACCACACTTCTGTTAATGGGTTTGCACAGATGACATTGTTCCGAACAAAGTACTTTGTAAATAATTCTGTTGACAATGAACAAGAAGGAATAGAATCCACCTTGCTTTCTTAGCAGTGTTGGTTCTGCAGGGATAAGAACAGAGAAAAGCAGTACAACTTATTTTAGTCCCTCAAGTCAGTAGATGAAATTCTGAATATGCAAATGAGCAGGTGACATTTTTACATAGTTGTTTTTCTGAGCAGAACTGTGCTCATCAAACTTTTTTTTTAACCATCCCGATATACCTGTCCCCAAATACTTGTCAAGCTCCTGATCTGGCTAATCTGAATTCTATTTATGCTGAGCCTTTCTACTGTCTTAATTTTAAAGTCCACTACTTGCCTGTCTGGGGATAATTAAAAACAAAATGCCTCTCTTTTACACCCCTGCAGAATACAACCTGCTGCTAACTATTGAACCCACAGAGTCTTATTGCAGAGTTTTATATGAGGATTACATTTGTCTATAAATAGATTCAGTCGGTGGTGGTAAATCACCCAGCTTTTGATTTAGAAGCAACATTTTGACACATGCTATGTATCTTTTTTAATAGAATATGCTTCTGTTGGCTCATTGTATGATTACATTAATAGCAACAGAAGTGAAGACATGGATATGGAGCATATGATGACCTGGGCAACTGACATAGCTAAAGGTAAGAGAGGCTGATTTCTAACAATAACTCCCTCCCATTGATCATTTCTAGTTGTGTTTTGGCTCTAAATCCCAGCAGAATATTTTTCATGAGTGACTGTGTATAGAAATATATTGCATAGATATGTCAATATCTAGGTTTATGGCTTATATTGGCTATATAGGGATAGTCAGGAAAATTAAGATGAAATAAAGTGACCTTAGTGCACTTTAGTTTAAGCAAGACTAAGAGCTTCCCTACGCTGAGAAGTGAATTTTGGTTTAAGGTGGGTGGGGTTTGAATTTTAAGTGGAATAGCTATTCCTGATTAAATTCCTGTGTGGACACTTTCCAAGAAGAGTCCCTTATTCCAAATTAGCTTAATCCACTTCCAAAGGGAGTTAGGCTACATCTTCACTACGGGGGGGGGGGGGGTGTCGATTTAAGATACGCAAATTCAGCTATGCGAATAGCGTAGCTGAATTTGACGTATCGCAGCCGACTTACCCCGCTGTAGGGACGGCGGCAAAATCGACCTCTGCGGCTTCCCATCGACGGCGCTTACTCCCACCTCCGCTGGTGGAGTAAGAGCGTTGGGACGCGATAAATCGATCCCCGAAAGGTCGATTTCTACCCGCCGATTCAGGCGGGTAGTGTAGACCCAGCCTTAGTCAGGAGTGGCTATTCTAGAATACCTTCCCGTGTTAGTTAAAGCAAACTAAAACTACTTTACTTCTAAATGAGAGCACCCAACACAGGGGTTTTATGCACTTTAAATAATGTGCTCTAACTTCACACCTTTAGTTAATTTGTCTTAACTTTCTTTAGGGCTGGTCTACACTGGCGGGCGGGGGGTGTCTCGATCTAAGTTACGCAATTTCAGCTACGTGAATAACATAGCTTAGATCTTCACTGTGGTAAGTCGATGGCTGACGCTCCCCTGTCGACTCCGCCTGCGTCTCTTGTTCTGGTGGAGTACCGGAGTCGACGGGAGAGCGCTTGGCAATCGATTTATTGCATCTAGACTAGACACGATAAATCAACCCCCGTTGGATCAATCACTGCCTGTCAATCCAGCCCGTAATGTAGACATGTCCTTAGTGTCTAGACAAGCCCTTAGACTACTCAATGGAACAGTTTAATTAGAAATGATCCAAGTAACTTGAGACAGGTGGATGCTATTCTGTATGTATTCTACCACACACAAAAATTTTAAAACACTCTTCAAAATTTCCCAAGTAATTTGACTGTTTTTTTTAAATTACTTAAAGTGTTAGCAAACAGTTTTTAGTCCCTTTTTGTTGTTAAATACACATCCAAAGACTAGCTAATTCTTTAAGGCCCTGATCCTGCATTCAGATTGGTCAGTGTTGATCCCTGTGCACATGTGGGGTCCCATAGAAGTCATTGGGCTCTTCAGGAGTCCATGCTAGAGGATCTCAGTGCCCCAGGGACTAAATAGCTAAACCACAATTTATTTTTATCTATTTTTAAAAGGTTTGTAAGTGCCAGCCTTTTGGGAGTTTTATCTCAAAATACCCAAGTTACTTGCTAAATATTTTCATCTGAATAATGAAGGCTAGTGGTTACATTTTATATCCTCCAAGCCCTAGAAGAAGGTACAGCAGATAAGGCATTGGGCTTGTCATTATGATTAACTCTATGCAATTATTGTTTAAATCCCAACATTGAGTGTGATGTTTAGACGCAAGAGCAAGTTGCAGAATACCTCCAACTGTTGGAACGCAGATCATATTTCTGGTTGATAAGCCTATCTAGGACTCACCCAGCTCTGCCTGCATTAGATGTTTAAAGATAATTAAAATAGGAAATGAAAGAATAGAAATAAGAGCATAAAAATTATATATTGGGTGGGTGATGTCTCCATCTATTTATGTTCATGTACATGGCACTGTATTACATGTATACTTTTAAATACTTTAGGGCTCTCTACATGCAAATAATCACATAGACAAGCAGCATTCCTCTTCTAATGTACTATAGATCATCATTAACACAAGCATTGACAAGCAGTGGGCTTGCTAAGCCACCATAATTTAAAAACTTTCCCTCATTTTTCTATAGGAATGCACTATTTGCATATGGAGGCTCCGGTCAAAGTAATTCACAGAGATCTGAAGTCTAGAAATGGTAAAGTAACCTTACACTTAAGTGATTCTATATTTCTACTTTCAGTTAATGTGACAGTTTAACTTTAGCCTTCGAGAGATACAGGGCTAAATCTTCAGCTGTAGCTAAGATACGCAGCTGAGGCAGAGAAAAGACAGCACTAAGCCATCTTTGTGTTCCCTGCCCCAAATCCTGAGGCTATCTGGGCACCATTCCAGTCCCTGGCATAATTCAGAGCAGTCTGTAGTGCTGCTTTAAATTATGCCTTGTTTCCCAGAGTCTGTTCCAGCAGCCAAGGTTTGCCAGGGTACTTTCCCTTTTTCCTGGAAATGTCCTGTATGCTGAGGCCCAGGAAGGGATGGTGGAGGACTGCTATGAACAGTGCAAAACAGCCGAAATGGACTTGAGATTCGGGCCCAGTATCTTCTCTAAAAATGTTGTAGTTCTTTCAGCATTGATTGAACTTTTGCAGATGATAGTGCTTCTGAAGAATGTAATTGGCTGTGGGGTTTGAATGAAACTGTTCTACTTGGTTAGTTCCAGACCAGTTATGAAACATGCTGAAAAGTGACTTTAATTGAAATATTTACTACTAGTAAGTGGCTTACAAATTATTCTGATTCACCAAATGCTGTATAAGAATGTCATCATGGAGAAATGGCTGGATGTAGTTTCATTCTTAAGTATCTTTTTAAGAAAATATTTATTTTGTTTTATAAACTTTGATTAATCATTGATGCTATTATTGCTAAAGTGAATCTCTGGGAGGAATCATTGTGAACCTTGATTACTGTAATGGGAAATATTGGATATTTCTTTCCGTATTTGTAGTTTGGATTTTATAGGTAGAAATCTCCTTCTACCTTTGTTTAAGGGTGAGCAAGGCTCACATCAGTTTTTGAGGTAAGCTTATTTTTTTGTGCTGAATATCCCCACTAACCAGGGCATAAAAGGCATTCAGAGCATATGTTTCAATTTACCCGTCTGAAAATTTTTATTTAGCTTCCATGAAAGTTTAGTGGAGATGTGCCAAAATGTACCATTTTAGGAAGTCATAGATGGTGATATAGTCAAAGGCTGCATGAGACATTTTGACTTGGAATACTACATTTAGAGACCTAGTGAGAAATCTGGGTACAGCTGACAAACTTTCATGGAAAGTAAAAAGAGCCTTTAAACAAAAGAAAAGTTGAAACTTCTTAGTGTGCTGAATGATTTCCACAATTTGGTTAACTCAAAATTGACCCAAAACATCCACTTTTTAATAAATACCCTTTAGTATCAGTATTTGTTGCTTTATTACTATTGCCATGAGAATTAATCTTCATCAAGTCCTAATCTGAATGTAAAATCAAAATAAGCATAGAAAACCTCTGGATTCCAAAGATGTGGGCTCTTGCTTTGCCCTGGGGTTTATCTGTATTCCTCAAAATATCAAATTTAATTTAAAATACAAAGTGGAGGGGCACTGGTGGCAGTGAAATAGTGGGGAACTCAAAGAAAAATGCTAGTGTAGACAAGGTCCTAATGGTGTTCTCTGACGCAGTTATAGGGATTCTGTTTTCCTGTCCACACGAGCCAAAAATAATAAATAAAAATTAGAAGACAGATTCTCCAAGCTGAGACAGAAAACTATGCTAGTGGTGGATAGCTGCTCTTGTAGAGTGGACACACCCTTATTGGTGTGCAGCAAGGTCTTGTTTTATCTTCTTTGTTCCACATGGGAAGGAGCTGCAACAAAACCTGGGAATCCGGCATTCCTATTTTCCCCATCTCCCAAGTGGTACGAGTAATGACAACTTCTCCTTTCCTCCCTTGCCAGCCAGAGGAAAAGAGGGAGGTGGTGGAGTACTTAATACCCATCTGCTATATGCATTTCAAGAGGGATTGGTACAGTGGAACTCACTTAAAGGTGATAGACAACAGAAAAATCCTGAGATTGCACTGTTTTTTGCTGCTTCATGTTGATGAATCCCTGGAACATTTTTTATTAAAAAATAAATCCAAAAATGCCTTTTTGCCCTGCTTATATTTTACATTAGATATTCAATTCACATCTTGTCTGCCCTGATTTTATCTCTGATGACTAGAGAACTAGTGAAATGATGTCATAGGAGGCAAGAGAGTGAAGGTTGAGATGTGTAATTGAGAGTAGAGAATTTTTTTTTCAGTCAAACTCCTTGATTTTTCTGTTTTTGTTTGCAACTATTCAGCTTTTCAATAGCTAATTAATTTTGGAGATACTGGACATCTTTGTTAAAGGTTAAATACCCCTGCCTCTTCAATTAAGGTGTTAGCGCTTACACTGAACATGAGATCTTTCCCAAGAGGTCTTTCAACAAAACCAGTAAAGACTGGACTTTACATTCCTGGTATTCTAAAGTAAACCAAACAGAACAATAATTTTGACTAGGTGTGTGGAGGAAACCTTCGAGTAGCAGGGTGTCTGGTGTTTTACATTATGCAGGAGGGTATGAGCCCAGTTTTTTAAACATCTTTATCAGCTTACTATTTGAGTGGAAAGAAACTTCACTCAAGTAAAGTGACACTTCAGTATAAGAGGATTGAAAGTCCATTGAAACAATTCTGGACTTTCACTCCACTTTCACTGTAAGTGGAATTTGACTCTAACTGCATTGCCTACAAGCGGGTTCCACTGTGTATTTGATGAAAAATGTCACTGTGAAACTGAAAAATAATTCAAACATCACACTGAATTTTCTCCGACTTATTTGCAGCTAATGTCAATAAATGGATACATACAGTGGATGACATTGTACCCACAATTACAACTGTGTAAGGTGTTTGAGGAAATGTGTAAGGGAGGATTGAATTATAACTAAGGAGTTAGTTGTACTCTGTTTCTTTACTAATAAATGAAAATTTAATTTGCTAACTATTAATAGACCTCTTTGTGAATTTTTTTCCAACGCAGTTACAGAGTTTATTCATAGACTTTCAGGTATTTGACAAGTCTTCTTCAAACACCTCCCAAGAAATCAAGAGAATTGTGTGTGTCAATATATTCAAGTCCTGGATCAGTGTGGGATCATTTTTCTTTATAAAATGTCAACTGGTTTGCCATTAAGATGTTAATAACAAAATACATTGTTCTTTGTAATGTAATTTACTTACATTTTGTTTCTTGATTTTCCAGTTGTTATAGCTGCTGATGGAGTATTAAAGGTAGGAATATTTTAATTATTTGGAAGGTTTTGCAGCTGCCTTGCGTGATATCTTTGAAGTCAAATGAATGAGAAGTTGGCATTTATTGTTTGTTTTTGCCAGATCTGTGATTTTGGTGCTTCAAGGTTTCACCACCATACGACACACATGTCCTTGGTGGGTACCTTCCCTTGGATGGCTCCAGAAGTTATCCAGAGTCTCCCAGTGTCTGAAACATGTGACACATATTCATATGGTGTGGTGAGTTGCTTTCATTTCTTTCTCTGCATTAATGGGGCACTGGCATAACTGAGTTAGTAGAATGTAAAATGTGAAAATAATGTTCGTAAATAAGGGCAATAGAGAAAGTTCACAAAATTTCATTTCAAAACAGTTTCATATATTTTATAATTACAAGCTGAAAACTGATAGTATGAGCAATATCTTGCATGCTTAGTAAGATAAGTATTTGATTAGATTGTGCTGCCTTGCTAATCTGTGAAATGCAGAATGTATTTAAAATACTTTACCTATGTCAGGAGACAGGAAAGAGTTAGTAAACAGTTTACAGTTTGTAGCTGTGTTGTGTTTACAAAGGAATGGATATTAGTCTATCAGGAGCAACAAGTTATATTTTAGTAAGTTTATTAGAGAGGGTTGCCTAGAGTATTTCCATACAATTGTGTGTCATGGAGTTGGTTTAAGAAAAGTGGTCTTACACCACTCTTCCACTCAGATTGCTGTAAGAGCCTGCTACAATCAACTGATAACTGTTCTCAAAGGTAGAGAGGCACTGTATAGAAAGGTTGGTAAAAGTTTTGTGGGTTCTGCCACTTATTTAAAGGGGAGGGAATAAAACTGCTTGTAAGCAAATAAATATGTCAGTGAAATTTGGGAATATAGGAATTCTTTCACTCTGTTCCTACTCTGCGTCCTTGCAATCAATCCTGCATCGCTCCACAATTGAAGCTGACAGACAGTACAGCAGAAAGTAGGGTTGTGTGTGTGTGTCAGTGTGTTAAAGGAGAGGAGATGGCAGGAATTAACAAGTCCTTCCTGACATTTTTGTCAGGTTTTTCTTAATCAATAATGTTTTAAACCAACTCCCCTACTCATTCATCATTAAAGTGATGACCTAATGGAAGAGGGGAAAAAAAGCTATGTTGGCAAATCCAAAACTATAGTCTGATTTAATTGAGCTAAGACACATACAGTACTAGGATGTAAGCTAGTAAACATAAATGTTAATGTAAGCTGTTATTGAAAACAATAAAATATTTCCTATTGAAGGGAAGCATTTCAGTTCCAAATAGAAAAGAAACAAAAAAGAAATTCCAGGCTAGTTCTAGAATTTTCTAGTTTAAAAGTTGTTACAGCTTAGTCAGGTATTGCACAAACCCTTGGAGCATTTAGTTGGTTATTTTCCCTGTGTATAAACAGTAAAGATCATTTGCTAATTCTGTGATTATATGTAAAACTCAGAGAACTTACAGTATAGCCATATGCTAGCCAGTTCACTATTAGTGAAATATTTTAATGCAATAACCTGCCCACAAAATGGTTTTGCATCTGTATACAGAGTTACATTGGCCTATGCCTTGTTGTCTTATAGTGATGCTTCAGTGTGCATAATAATATGTGATCCATATGGCTGTTTTATCATTCATATGTATTTTGGAGACTAATATGTTCTCATATGGACACCACCAATGTTTTAGAATTTTTAAATACTGTCATGGGGTGCACCACTCACTGTTTGTCTGGCACCTCCTCCTGGTCACTCAGGGGATTAGCTCTCAAGGTTGATGCCCCTTTCTGTTGTCGCACCCCATCACATTGTCTCTCTTCCAGGTCTGCAGCCCCACTCTTGTCCCAGGAACCGCAGCGTTCTCTTTGTGACTTAGTCCTCCGGCTAGGTCACTCAGCATTCCCCCTTACGGGGTACAATCCTTCAATTCCCTGTCATTACCATAGTGACCCAGGCAGTCTTCCCATTCGCTGCCCTGCTGGTTTATGCCATGCCCTCGCTGGGTGGTAGGGGAAGCCAGGTCCGCCCTCTACTCCACGTTCCAGTCCAAGGACCCTCAACTCATCAGTTCTGGGCTTTTCTCTCCTAGCCCTCGCTACTCCTTCTCTGGACTGCTTCCTACAACTCCTTGTTCCCCTCCTTATGTTGGATGTACCAGCTCCAAACCCTCCACTCTCTTCTCAGGGAATGACTGCCCTTTCCCTGCACCATCTGTTGCCAGCTTTGTGGCTTTATAAGCCCCACCTTTTCCTGCACAGCTGAAGCTGATTGCAATCAGCTTCTTGGCTCTTCCTCCAGGTGCCGCCTGTGGCGTTAATAGCCCTATCTGGCCATCTTAATCCCTTCCAGTCCTGTGTGGGATGGACACCCCATCACAGACACCTATGACCTGATCCACCCTGATGTTATTCCAGTTTTCCACCCCTCTGGCACCATTGATTTCAATGTAGATATTCAGGTGTAAACGTGGAGTAATGCAGTGGTGAATCGGACTCCTGCAAAATACAGTGGTCCAGATATTCTGCTGGGAATTACTGACTTAGCAAAGAATTTGTCCTAGTATATCTTTGAAAGTTGGAATTCTTCTCAACTAAACTTTTAGATTAGTAGTGAATATGCTTAAAGGCTAAGAATTAAAACCTTGGAAAAAGTAGATCTCTTGCTCTTACAATGATTTTATCTATAAAAACAAATTTGAACAGTCCACTTTCAAAGTGTAACACTTGCCAGTGGCCTTTGTGCTAGACAGACAAATCTGTTTTTCTTCAGCTGAAACCCCCCCCCCCCCGGGTTTTCTTTCTATAAACTATTATGTGGCTGTGAATGTTGTTTGTTATGTAAGAGAGCCTCTTCCCATCAAATGACCAATCATTTCTGTCACCACTTAGGCCTGAGTCTTTCCTCAGTTGAGGTGAACTTTCCTATTTGCAAATGGGTCATATTGAATTAGAAAGGATCTCTCAGATTTGCATTCCAATATTTAGAGTAATTTGTTCTGCTCTTCATGATTGGCTAAATGGCTTCCAAATTCTCCCTTTGAGATTTTAGTAAATTATTTCATAAGGCCGACTAACAAATAAAACCAAGTGTTCCAGCTGATTTATCCAGACACAAACATAGGTCTTGGATTTTCTCTGAACCACCCAATGACTCCGTTTCCTAAACCAAATCCATGCTACTCTAAACAATGGATGCTAAGTATCAGAATCTATCAACCTAAATTTTGAGTCACATAGATCAAGTTTCTTTCTAATGTCATTATGTGTTGTACAGACTATAATTCTTCACTTGTCTAGCTGCTTTGAAAATGCTTGTGGAATAATGATGTTCACTCTTTAAAACAGCCGTAGCTGTTTTGAAATTGTAAAGAAATACACTCAGAACATCAGTTATTTTATCCTAGCTCAACAGAATTCCATTTGGAGTATATTGTATATGTATTTAATTATAAGGGTTTATGCAGTGTCTTTCATAGTTGAGCTATTTTAGCACTTATAAAAGCAAGTAATTAAATACTGGTTGTGTAGAGGCTGTGAAGTTAAATGCAGCAGCCATTGGCAATAGCTCACACATTGCCCTGGATGTGAGAACTTATTTTATTTTTAGAGGGAATGTTGGCCCAGCACACTGGGGTTATCCCATACTCTTTTTGAAAAGAATTATAGGATTTTAACTTCTATTTGGCTAGGTGCAGAGAGTTGCTGGACTAATATCATTGTCAGGTCTCATACAAAGGCTGTTACCTGTAGTAGCATAACACCATCACCCTTTCTGCTGCACTTCTTCAAACCCTGGTTATGAGTCCAAGTCAATAGGAGAGCTGTGCAAAACTATCCGTGTTCCGTTTTCTACCTGTTGTTTTCACCAAAGAGTTGAAGAAAGAATGAAAAATGGTTTGCTTTTCTTAAATTACTAAATTGTGACTTCCCCTAGCCTGCTTTTCTGGCACTCAGAGTTTTTTACCAATTTCATTCTCATGTGGGCTTTATACTGATAGCTTTCAGATGAAGTGGTAACCAGTGAATAACACAGACTCTTTAACTAGTTGAAGTGGAGGTCTATGTACTGGGTAACAGGAGGCGTGTAGAACATGTAAGCACAGTCTCAGCCCTAGAAGTTGTGAAGCAGTTTTATCCTTACATATATTTCCGTTTATTTTTATTAATCTTAAAATTATATATTTAATATGAAATAACACTTCAAAACCACATTGAATCATTTTCATGTGACCTCATCCAGCTTAACTCAAGGCTAGTATTAAGTATCTTTGGATGGCAGCATCTACAGCTCTCATCAGATGGAAGAATGGATCATTCCAACATCTTCAGCAGAGCTTAAAGAGGCTGAGGAAAGAGGATCTGAGAAGACCCCATTCCACCTTCAAAATCCCTTCTTTCATTTCTCTCTCTCTCTAAAAGCAATATTCGGACAATTAAATTCAGGATTGATTGCTATGCTCAAACCCTCTCCGTGAAAACAAACTTTTACAGGTAGTGTGGATTAAAAGGGATATCCTCATTTATTTGGTCTTCCATTATCCACATTCCAGACCTAGCCACTACTGACTAGTGTAGTGGTCTCTTCTAAGGCTTGTCTGAACACACAGTTATTCCTGATTAGCAATCATTGATAAACTCCTTGTGTGAACACCCTTATTCAGAATAAGTTTAACTGTCCTTGATAAACTCCATTTTGGACACTCTTATTAAGAGTGCCTTGTTCCTGTTTAGCGTTAATCAGAGATAACTCCATGTATAGAAAGCCCTTCACAAAAAGAAAACATGATAGTTTTGAGGTTGACATGTGCTAGAGTCAACATGAAAGTTGTCCTGGGCCTGGTCTTTATGAGGACTCTTTTACAAAAAATCCCCTGTTGTTGCTACTGCCATTTCAAAGCCAGAGTGGTAGCAAGGGGCAGAGCTCTCGTGTAGACAAGTCACTAGTGGCCATTAGTATTTTAATCATTGTTGTGTAGACCTGCTCTGAGCAAAGACAATAGACAATACGGTACTTAAACTGCCGGCAGCTCCCTGGAATCCTGTCTGTACTAGTTTTCCCAGCATAACTGCCCCCAGTGGAGCTGAACTTGGAGTAACAGTGGGAATTTTTAGCAACTAAGTAATGTTGGGAAAGTATTTGAAACTTTCTGAAAAAGACAGTCACACTCTTGCTCTTCATTTCATGCCCTCCTCCCCATATGTTCACTTTCTCTCTATCTGTTCACAAGAAGGAGACTGAGCTCTCTAGGAACCACAATTTGCAAGCCTCTGCCATAAATCCTTTTATGTATAGTTCTCTGAACTGTGTCTAGTTAGACTACTTCCCTCTGCAGTTTTGGTTCCACTTTGATTGACAGTCCAGTATAGCCAATTCATAAGACTGTGTTGAAACTCTTACAAAAAACAAGGCAATGAAAATGTTACCACGGAGCTCCAGCTTGGTGGAAAAATCTTTATCTAGATTGTTGACTTGACTATGAAATTGGCATCACTGACAAAGCATTGTTCTCAGTAAACCTTTTGGAATAAACACAAAAACTTATGGGACTCAAGTTCCTCATCTTTTGGCTTTCTAATGCTACTAGTGAACAATAGGATACTAAAAGGGAATTCTTCCTACTTTTCTCAGATTCCTTGCTCTCTTCTGGGTTATGAAGTATAGTTTGGAGTATTTGGAGCTAATACAGTTGGGTTAAGAAACCAGTGAGCTGTACAAGACAATGGAAATAAAAGTAAAAATGGCATCATAAAGGAATTCAGTGGAAAATGTACTGACTTATGTGCATGAATGGAAACATACAACCACTACCTGTTGTGTGGGAAAAGCAAAATTGTCTTCTTTTCCGGCTACAGGCTTTTGGTGATGTATGAAACCTACATATTTCAATCTGTAATATTGTTCACCTGAAGAATTTTAAATAATATTTTACAATTCTAACCGTTCTTATACATTTGATGTGTGATCTTTAGTGAGATTCCCTGAGGGGTTTTGTAGTACATAGGGCACAATAGCCCTACAGTTATATAGATGAGGTAGTTCTGTGAGTCTGTTCACCTGCACAATTGGGTGGCTTTTGTTTTATGCTGACTGCTTATTGGGGTGCCTGAGCTTCATGGGTACACCAAATCAGTTACTTATTTTGCAGTTAAATTCCCTTCTTTTCCTCAGCCTTACCAGCAGATGTGTGGTAACTGGAATAACACATTGAGGTGTATTTTCCTTCTTCTAAAGGGAATGAATTGAGCCATACAGGGGACTGGGTACCTGTATGAATACTTTCCCTTGAAAAATTTTTATACAATGACTTCTTCTAAGATACTTTTACCTTTACTAATCAGGTTCTGGCTCAAACAGAATTATTCAGCAGCTCTTTTGATATAGCACCCTGTTCTTTTGATTTTTCTGCTTGAACAGTGTCTGCCAATGTTCTTGCATGTTCCTACTAATTACCTTCAAAGTTAGCCATAATTCATTGAAAATGATGTGGCTTGACTAAGCCTGAGTACTAGCCCAAATAGCAGGGATATCAAGACTTATACAAGGTGCTTGGAACTTTTGGCTAAGTGGTCAATAAATGTTGGCCCCTTTTTTGTTGTGTTTTGAGCTGAAGAAAAAGTTTTTATATAGTTTTTTATATCTGTATCAAGAGATACATATATGGAGATCGAGTGTTGTAGATATATGTATGAATGGAGACAAGAGTGACTTTTAACTTATTGAACTCCAATATTATGTCTCTACAGTAGAAAAAGAAGTTGGGTTTATTGATTCTTAGCTCTTTTGGTGATGTTGATATTTTTACAAAGTAGTTGAAATTCTCAGATTCTCATTTGATTTAATGAGTTGGTGCAATATATGCAAAAATGTTACATGTGTATGCAGATGGAGGAGATCTTCCCATGTCTGAAGATAAATTATTGTTGTAGGGAGATTAAAGATAAAATATTAATATCTGATATCTGTGATACCACTTAGTTTAATATCATCACAAACTTGTTGACAGCAACAATTATTATATTACTTTGGATTGGGTGTTTTGTTATAAGCGTGTATCAGAAGCTAAAAGCTTATTGACTCAGATAGTGATTACTAAGAGGCGCCATTTGTAGTTGTATAGAAATGTTTAAAAATGTAGAATTATTATAATGAAAAGGTTTGTCTAGTTGGGGTTGGGGAGAAAGAGTTCACTATCTTGCAAGGCTGAACCACCATTTTATGGTATAAAGAAAGAAGAGAATATTTCCTATGGGTTTCACAAAATTGCAGTCACTGGGCCCCACACAATCCAGTTTTTTATTTGGTTTTGCTTTAGAGGAAAAAACAGAAATACTAAAATTAATTTAGTGAGAGGATCTTGCACACAAACATTTGTCCAAGTTACTGCAAATGGGATCTGGTTGCCGATTAATTGGATACAGATAGTGCTGTATCAGGGTTTAATGATGTATTTAAAATACAAAGTACAGAAATAAAAATTCTTTTCTTTTTTTCTGCTCCAGGTTCTCTGGGAGATGCTAACAAGGGAGGTCCCCTTTAAAGGCTTGGAAGGATTACAAGTAGCTTGGCTTGTAGTGGAAAAAAACGAGGTAAGACTACGTTTCTACATTCAGGTACATAGATCAGAAAACAGTATTGGGGTTTTGCAAAAGACTTTTTCATCTTCTTCAAATTGAAAGTAAGTTCACGCGTATGGAAAGATTAGCAGTAGGAGCTAACACAAAGGGTCAAAGTGATGTTATTCCTCATGAATGGACCCTTTACATCTAATTGTTGCAGCTTCACGTCGTGATGCTGTAGATCAAAAATTGTACAAGTACTGTACTAGTTTCTCAGTCTCAATTGTAAAACCTAGGGGTTTGTTCTTAGTGATGAAAGAAGCCATTGCGTCCAAGGTAGGGGAACAGTTTAACTCCATCTCCTGCGTTTAGGACATCTTTTTACTGGCCGGGAGTTGATATATCTGTAAGAGACCTTCAGCTACTTCAACTTAACTCTCCCAGCAGGAGTCACTATAGTACAAGAAACTGCCGCTTAGATGAGAATTTCAAAAATAAAAGAAGAAAAAATAGTTTAAAAAAAAGAGAGAAATTACAGTTTTGCCACCTACGTTCAACACTACATTGAAGATGAGCTCCTCACTGGTATTGGCAAGGCTGTGGCATAGCTGCAAGCTTCCTCATGCAGAGTCTTTCCATTTCAAAAGAACTTCAGTGGTGTAAACACCGTTTGTACAGTGTCCCCAGCCTCGCTTTTCTTCTTTCCACAAATTGAGGCTTTCAGTTAGTTGGGCATGTGAGCTATATGTCTGAACACATGGTTCTTTGATATCAAAGACAGTAACTACATTTAAAAAACATTTAAAGTTGGGACTATACCACACACAGACAAGCATGGAAATCTCAGTTAAGAGGAAACCTCTACTATCTAGACACAGTGGAAGTTTGGGTAACATTATAATACAACCCAGTATCTCTACAATACAGTTTTATATTCTTCTATACAAACTATTTCCCAAAATACTTTATACTTAAATAAAATCGAGTTAAACATTAAATAGCAGAGGGAGAGACAAATGAAGAGAGAAACACCTTTGTATTTTTTTTAGTTCTGTTTGGGAACTGGACTGGTTCTACTCCCTGTCGAAGTACATGAGATGTCCAGATTAGTTGGAAATGCTACATTAATAGAGAGAAGCCTTATGAACTCAGCCTTCTACAGAATAATATTATCAGAACAGGAAACATAACAGGATTCCTTCTCCCACTATGGGGAAAGCCTCATACAGCTAATGCCAAGTTATTTTGGAGAGAGAGACCAGAAACTTTTCCGTATACTGTATATGACATTCCTGTGCATATCAAGTACACAGGTTTATGCAGGATCTGCCGTACAATACCATTTAAAATTCGGTGAAGAGAACTGATCTTCGGTTGAAAGATGTTAAAGTGTACAAATATATTTCCTCATGGTTTTCCAAAGCAAGGAACTATTAAAATATATTATAAGCAAAATGTGGGCATGACATGCTGCCTTACTACAGCCAGAAGAAGCTTAAGAAAAAAACAAGTGTCCTTCATGAACTTCTCAGTACTAGATGATAGTTGCAACAGGATGGTGGTGCCTCTTATGCAATCTTCCTTCCTAAGTGGTGCAATAAATGGATTGACACTGACAGTATTTTTTGAATCTGATCACAATCTATTGAATGTGCCCAACACAGTCGTGCAAAATAACAGTCATGCAAAATATTCATTTGCTCTCCTATTCCTCACTTCTCCAGCAGAAGAAAAATGGAATGTATGTCTCTCACAGTAAGTAAATAAATATAAAGGGGCAGGTTCTTCTCTCAAATAAACCAGTGCAAACCCTATTGGTGTCAATGGGGTTGCATATGTGTGATTCAGAGCAGAATTAAACACACTGTTGATCCAATCTGCATTCTTCTCCCTCTAAAAGTCAGTGCAGAACTGAGTCTAAAGCATACTCACTGAGGGCAAAGATCAACCCGGTGCAAAGGGAGTTCCTAAGAGGTTAAGTATGACTTCAGTGGTGCCTGATCTTGTTTGGGTCCTCTGCACAAAGGTGAATTTCATCCTGCTCGAATATTTTCCTTTTTAATCCAGACCTGCTTCACCCCCAATGTGAATGCTCAAATTATGGTTGGCATTAGCTAATGACAAATTAGTACTGAGAAATATCTTCTTTATTATGGTATGGTAGCCTTGGAATATGCTACCTATATATTGCCTGACAAATTACATTCTGCACACATAAGACAGCTGTAATTGATTATTACATGTCTCCTGGTAACCTATTTTCCATCTACGTGAAGAGTGAGGGTTAAAGACAAATGCCATAGCAAGACTAGCAGACATATTTTTAGGCAAATGACTTGACCGAGTATCAAATGGCAGTGCAATTTGTTCATGCACTATAGGAATTTCAGTGTATTTCCTGTGCAGAAAGCTTTTTCACCAGCAATGCATTATTTTAATGATTACACTCCAGTAATATCTTTATTGAGTATCTCATGTTTCCAGTTTTTGTCTTGTTTAAATGCTTATGCAGACAAATTTGTTGTACTCCTAGTTTGGCATGCTGTGGCTCATATGGCTTTGCAGGTCACGTTGCAGTAATATAATGGTATAATTTGATACAACTTGCTCTGCTTTACTTGTGCAGTGCCAGAATTAGTGCAGCAAAGTGCCTGGGGTAGCAAGTTGGTTTGAATGGAACTATAATATCTTGGTTAGATCATCTTTATGCCTCTGTCCTGTTTATAGCACTAGAGAATCATTTTTCCAACTTGGCCTCTCAGATTTCTAGGTCCTTCACGATCCTCCAATGAAGAACCATTCTGTTGTGTATTTACATATCTATTTTAGTTGGTATCAAACATCTGAAGTCAGTTAACTGAGAGCCCAGCGGTATCTCCTTATAAATGTAATGCGATAAAGATAGTCATTTCATCAAATGTAGTGGGATTTGGGTTTGGATCTTTCCAGACTGGAGAAAGAGTTGCAAATTAAAAGTTGCCTCTAGGATAGCCTGTCTTAGGTATCTTTCTAATTCCCTACAAAGGAAACCAAATTGATTTAGAACTGGTTCCCTGTTGTAGCAGTCCTGGTTGTAACCTGCAGCTAATTGTTTTAGTACTGGCCTTCTTCAGCCACCTAATATACAAGTTCTCTTTGATCCTTGAGTTCTTTTTTTGAGCTACTGATATCACAATTACTTAATCTGACCACTTAAGCTTCATGAAACTTATCTTGTGGAGTAAGGTTCTCATAGAAATCTCTCTTTTATTTTATTTTTTTAACTTCATCGCCTCCTCCATTTCTCTGTGATATCAACAGTGATTTTAGTAAAATTTTGCTGGATTACTTTATGTGGGAGAAAGGGGTTAAGTTTTCTCCCACATTACATTTATATTGAGGTACATCTGTGGACACCCAGTCATGCAGTTAATTGATCTAAACATTTAATAGTCATTTGCGAGACTTTCCATGGGCTTGCGTCATTTGATCTATTGGGCATTTGTTAGTTTTTTAACATACTCTGTTTGAATATTTGCTCCACCTGTTCCTTATGGTGTCTTATTTTGGATTTTGTACATTGCTCCTCAATTATGGAGTTTTGTCATGCTGTTAATGGTTATTTTGAACAATTGCCTCATCTTTTTGCTTGAAACATCAAATGACCAGTCTTATAGAAAGTATTATGACTAAACCATTAAGAAAAATAAATTGCTCTTTGCTTTCATTTAACTGGTGAATCCTTTCTCCATTGCAGAGATTAACCATTCCAAGCAGTTGTCCCAGAAGTTTTGCAGAACTGATGCATCAGTGTTGGGAAGCTAATTCTAAGGTAATTTCATTTATTGTGTTCACGTTAAATGTACCTATTTCTTTTGCGTCTTCATCATTTTAGTATGAAATTCTTATTTTGTAGGGCATAGCTGGCCTATTACTGCTGCTGCAAACCAATTCAAAACCGTTAGTTAGGGATCTTCATTATGATCATCTAGAACATATTTATGGCTAGATGCCTCTCTTGCCTTCTAAAGCCAGACCTGTTTAGGGAAGACAGCATTGGAATGCTGACTGGAAGAGCTGTGCATAGGGTAGGATGGAAGAACTAATACATTTTTTTCGTAACTTAATGAAAAAATAGTTTAGTTCTTACCTATAAAACAAATTTTCTTCATAAAATTATTTCTTTACAGATGTCCCAAAGCACATATAATGTAATAATTAAAGACCTGATTCTGACACCCTAAGCACATTGGGAGCACTTGCAACGTAAGTCCCTTCATAGTGTGAATAAGGATGTCAGAACAAGCTCTAAATTAATATGAAAACAGAATAAAAAAGCAACTTCAAGAAGAGTTGTTATGTCAAGCTAGTAAACCTTTGCACCTGTTTAACTGCCCCTGTGGGGGTAACTAAAGGAGTAAATATTAATTTTAATTACTAAGTAAAGACTCATATAGATGATGGGAAATGTCCATTTTTAGTTCAGTCCACTGCCCTATTCTGTGTACAGCAAATAAGTTGGAAAGAGACCTGTGGAGGTAGCTGGAAAACAGTTCATAATGGCATCAGCTTTGTTATCAAATATGAGCAGGCATTTCCTTCTCCTGTGAAGATAGTTAAGGAAGAAAATTTTTGATATTGCTTTACTCAGTTTGGTAGAGTCAGAATTCTGGTCCCATTGAAGTCAATAGGAGTTTTGCCACTGCTTCAGTGGGACCAGGATTTGTTCCGGGATGAATTGGCTACTTTAAAGCTAGAGCGCCTTGTCGCTTGGAAAGAACATGAGAGGGAGACTGAAGGAAGAAAACCACCTTTGTAGAGGTTTTCCCCAGATTGTTCTGTGGGGGACAAGGCATGTTCTCTCATTGAATGAATGGAGGGTTCTGTCCCTCAAGATCCTTGAGATCCACCAACAATATGGTGCCTTCCAAATGAAGACTCTGTGCCTCTTTACTGCAGACTCTTTAGCCCCCTCCAGTTTCCCATGAAGGGAGTCCCTTAGTTCACAGACAGCTCTGGTGAAAATTAATGCAGCATCATGCTGCTTTTCTGCAAATTGCTGGCGCATAACAACCATTTCCTTAGACCACTCCCTCGTGAGACACAGATCTCCAGCAATGATGCTGAGAAGGCAGTTGACCCCTTCTTCTGTAAAAGAGGAGAGAGCTGCACGCGGAGGGACTCTCTGCATAAGAATCTACGGGTGACAGCCTAGCCCCTAGTTATAAAGGGTTCTTCTGAAATATTGGTGGCCAACTTGTTTGTTGTTAAAGTCATCACTTCAGAGGGAGTATATAGTGCAGGGATTGGCAACCTTTGGCCCGCAGCTCGCCAGGGTAAGCACCCTGGCAGGCTGGGCCGGTTTGTTTACCTGCTGTGTCTGCAGGTTCGGCCGATCACGGCTCCGACTGGCCACGGTTTGCCGCTCCAGGCCAATGGGGGCTGTGGGAAGCGGCACGGGCCGAGGGATGTGCTGGCCGCTACTTCCTGCAGCCCCCATTGGCCTGGAGCGGCGAACCGCGGCCAGTGGGAGCCGCGATCAGCCGAACCTGTGGACACGGCAGGTAAACAAACCGGCCTGGCCAGTCAGGGTGCTCGGCCTGGCCAGCCAGGGTGCTTGGCCTGGCGAGCCGCGTGCCAAAGGTTGCCGATCCCTGATATAGTGCAATCCTTGTTATAGACTACTGTGACCTTATTTTAATACTGCAATATGCAACTCCCCTGTGATTTCCTGTGATTAGTCTGTCAGCTTTTAGGCTTTGCTTTCAATTTTATAGAATTTCTTACTATTTGAAGAAAATTATCTATCCCATTGCATTGAAATTATTATGAATAAAGCATGCATAGAGGAACTTTATTTATATAGTAAAACCTATAAGTTAAAGTAACTTTAGTAAAGTGCTTTTTACATTAAAAAGACAATTTATGTGCTAAGTATTAATCATGATTATTAAAGAGCACCTCCAATAGGCAACTACTTGTCTTAGATATCCACTTTCAAGTGTCCCCATCTCTACTATTTTTCTAAGATATTAGAGAGTTGCTTCCACAAGCTTTCTCCCTATTGATCTCTTTATTACTAGAGATGTTTACCTTAAAACAGGGTCTTGTATTTCTTAGTTTCATATGTTTCTACAGCGTATCCCCCACCTGATCTGCGACATCATAAATTATTAGAAATACGATTACCATCTGAGGCTTGGGAACTGGGAGAGGAAGTAGAAACAGATAAAGTAATAGAATCAAAGGTACTGTTTTTATACACACATGCCAAGTAACAAACATTAAGTGAAGGGAAACACTGCAAATATTAGCCAGAATTCATTGTAATTGGAATTTCTTTTATAAAGTTTTTCCATGAGGCATTGAGATGTAAGGGCCAAGATTTTAAAAAGTGACTAGTGATTTTGGGTGCCCAACTTGAGACCTCTTTCAGGAGTCTTGTTTTCAGAAAGTGGTGAGCACCCACTGACCGAAAAGAAGGTATCTCAAGCTGGGCACCCCAAATCACTAGTTACTTTTCCACATCTTAGCAAAAGTCCTCAATCTGTGCTTACATTGTTTTTATTAAATTAAAAGGTACCTTCCCCTTTAAAAAAAAAATCAGTGTAGTCCTGTTGCCTCCTTCCGGCTCTAGACAAAATCCCATCTACCCTCAAGAGAAAAGCTGTTGCCAAGGCTGATTCAGGTACCTGCCAAGGCTGATTCAGGTACCTACCATGCCTGTAAAATAGTTGGTGTTCACATGCATAGATGCACAAGCATTCCCAATACTGTTGTGAATGTCGACTTGGAACAAAGTTTTGACAACTCCTGTGGCTGTCCTGGTTCACTGCTTGCCAGGGAACTGATGGGCAGGATTGCCTGGGAGAATAACATGAGGGGGAAAGGAAACCAGGAGAGCTGGCTGTATTTTAAAGAATCCTTAGTGAGGTTGCAGGAACAAACCATCCCAATGTGTAGAAAGAATAGTAAATATGGCAGGTGACCAGCTTGGCTTAACAGTGAAATCCTTGCTGATCTTAAACACAAAAAAGAAGCTTACAAGAAGTGGAAGATTGGACAAATGACCAGGGAGGAGTATAAAAATATTGCTCAGGCATGCAAGAGTGAAATCAGGAAGGCCAAATCACACTTGGAGTTGCAGCTAGCAAGGGATGTTAAGAGTAACAAGAAGGGTTTCTTCTGGTATGTTAGCAACAAGAAGAAAGTCAAGGAAAGTGTGGGCCCCTTACTGAATGAGAGAGGCAACCTAGTGACAAAGGATGTGGAAAAAGCAATGTACTCAATGCTTTTTTTGCCTCTCTCTTCATGAAAAAGGTCAGCTCCCAGACTACTGCACTGGGCAGCACAGCATGGGGAGGAGGTGACCAGCCCTCTGTAGAGAAAGAAGTGGTTCCGAACTATTTAGAAAAGCTGGACGAGCACAAGTCCATGGGGCCGGATGCGCTGCATCCGAGGGTGCTAAAGGAGTTGGCGGATGTAATTGCAGGGCCATTGTCCATTATCTTTGAAAACTCATGGCGATCGGGGGAGGTCCCAGATGACTGGAAAAAGGCTAATGTAGTGCCCATCTTTAAAAAAGGGAAGAAGGAGGATCCGGGGAATTACAGGCCAGTCAGCCTCACCCCAGTCCCTGGAAAAATCATGGAGCAGGTCCTCAAGGAATCAATTCTGAAGCACTTAGAGGAGAGGAAAGTGATCAGGAACAGTCAGCATGGATTCACCAAGGGCAAGTCATGCCTGACTAACCTAATTGCCTCCTATGACGAGATAACTGGCTCTGTGGATGAGGGGAAAGCAGTGGATGTGTTATTCCTTGACTTTAGCAAAGCTTTTGATACGGTCTCCCATAGTATTCTTGCCAGCAAGTTAAAGTAGTATGGGCTGGATGAATGGACTGTAAGGTGGATAGGAAGCTGGCTAGATCGTTGGGCTCAACAGGTAGCGATCAATGGCTCCATGTCTAGTTGGCAGCCGGTATCAAGCAGAGTGCCCCAAGGGTCGGTCCTGGGGCTGGTTTTGTTCAATATCTTCATCAATGATCTGGAGGATGGCGTGGACTGCACCCTCAGCAAGTTTGCAGATGACACTAAACTGGGAGGAGGAGTAGATACGCTGGAGGGTAGGGATAGGATACAGAGGGACCTAGACAAATTAGAGGATTGGGCCAAAAAAAACCTGATGAGGTTCAGCAAGGACAAGTGCAGAGTCCTGCACTTAGGACGGAAGAATCCCAAGCACTGCTACAGACTAGGGACCGAATGGCTAGGCAGCAGTTCTGCAGAAAAGGACCTCGGGGTTACAGTGGACGAGAAGCTGGATATGAGTCAACAGTGTGCCCTTGTTGCCAAGAAGGATAACGGCATTTTGGGCTGTATAAGATGGGGCATTGCCAGCAGATCGAGGGACGTGATCATTCCCCTCTATTCAACATTGGTGAGGCCTCATCTGGAGTACTGTGTCCAGTTTTGGGCCCCACACTACAAGAAGTATGTGGAAAAATTCGAAAGAGACCAGTGGAGAGCAACAAAAATGATTAGGGGGAGCAGATGACTTATGAGGAGAGGCTGAGGGAACTGGGATTGTTTAGTCTGCAGAAGAGAAGAATGAGGGGGGATTTGATAGCTGCTTTCAACTACCTGAAAGGGGGTTCCAAAGAGGATGGATCTAGACTGTTCTCAGTGGTAGCAGATGACAGAACAAGAAGCAATGGTCTCAAGTTGCAGTGGAGGGGGTTTAGGTTGGATATTAGGAAAAACTTTTTCACTAGGAGGGTGGTGAAGCACTGGAATGGGTTACCTAGGGAGGTGGTGGAATCTCCTTCCTTAGAGGTTTTTAAGGTCAGGCTTGACAAAGCCCTGGCTGGGATGATTTAGTTAGGGATTGATCCTGCTTTGAGCAGGGGGTTGGACTAGGTGAGCTCCTGAGGTCCCTTCCAACCCTGATATTCTATGATTCTAGGAGTTTGGTGGTGGTGTGTGCAGGAACCTCAGGCATTGTATTGACCATTGTATTGCTTTATACAACTCAGTCACTCAATGCTTTCACCTGCCCTTCAGAGACAACTCTGTTCTCTGTCAACCGTTATATTCCCTCCCACTGTTCTAGGCAGGTCTGAGAGCAACATAAGAAGTAGTCGACTGGGCTCAGCCCTGCCCAGTACTTCCCATATACCCCCAGAAAGACATATCAAGCAGAATGCGCACAAACATTCTGGAAATGAAACTTGTATTAATTTCAGTATTCTATTGCTTATGTAACAAGGGGCTTGTGACGCCCCTTTTGCCGCCTGCCCTGACCGTGGCATTATCAGTGAGGGCTGCCCCAAGAACCCCGGGTAACAGGGCTGCTCCCTCTTCATCTGCTCCTGAAAATCAGATAATGCAACTAGTTTAGTAAGGACACACTACACACCTGTTAAGTGATTGTATAATGTTTAATAGCACTACACAAATATATTAATGGGGTCTGGGGTTTGCCACATGTTCTGGGAGCTGTCCCAGTTGCATGTCCCACACTCCAGGCAAACAGAGATGGAACATCAATGGAAAAGCCATTGAAATTACAGGAATGCATTTAGCATACATTGCTACTTACAAACCCAAAACAGGGCAAGTAGCTGCAGCCATGACTTTGTGCATTTCACTGGATTTGCGTCAGCAACAGCTAAATATATGAAAAGAATAAAACTTAAGTTGAAAAATCAGCTCCTGGCCTCTTGGAGCAGCCCCACTCAAAACTAGCAATGATTGTATTCTGGGACTCAAAGCACAGAGCCTATCCGCCAGTGGGTGCAAGGAAACCTCCTGCCAAGCTTTACCCATAGCATCATCCATGTGGAATTGTGTGATGGTGTAGTCCCCGTCCTCTATAATGCATGTGGGGATTCACTATTTGGAGAGAACCATTGTAACAAACTTCTGGGATTCTTTACTAGAAACAATGTATAGAATTATAGCAACAGGTACAAATAAAGTACTGCCAAGTTTGCACCTGCTACCGTATTATGCAACTGTTCCAGGTTACAGTGCAGAGAACACTATGGGATAGGTGTGAAAATGCACAGGTACAGCAATGGCTGGGCAAATGCTGTGTGTCACAGCGAAAATCTGCTTGCTGCACCATTTGCCTGAAAACTGTGTAGATGGTCCAAAAAATGACAGACAAAAAAAGCCTCCAGTTAGCATTGAATAGTGCAGCACTACTGTATAAGAGAGGTTGTCTCTTTTTTTGTTATACATTTGACACTTTTTTATGCTGTTTGACATTTGAAATAAAGAAATTGTCTCTCTTTTATAATGTAGAAATCACTTGGATCTTCCTGGGAGAGACACCTCAGCATTGTTCCTAATTGTTTTTGTGCACCCAAATTAAAATGCACGTTTTAATTGCTGCATCTGTAATTTTAGCAGAAATGGTGTAATTACAGATGAGATGCAGAGAGAATGTGCATCATCCCTTTATTATGTATCTACATTTTGTCTCAACCTTTTGTCTCAACCTTGCCTGGGGTCTGTCAAACACACTAACGGAGTCACTGCTCTTTCAAGAAACATATTTAACTGTGCGTTTTCAGTTTTCAACAATTATCGTACTCTATAGCTTCCTTTGTGACTGCAGAAAGTAGAAAATGCAGAGAAGTTGACTGTTCTGAATGATGAGTGAATTTAGTTTTCATAAAGGGGTTTAAGAATGACAGCCTTTAGTTGTGCAGAGGACACAAACAGGGTACTGTGAACTTTCCCCCCCACTGCTTTGCTGACATGCCCAGCTTTGTCATGGAGGAATCACCACAATTGTCCTGATGTCTGTTCAGTCCCTGACCTTGGCTGAGACTATCAACAAGGGTGCCAGTTATGGAGGAGCAATTTTTGTGATGTGGACCTTTGTCCAGTAGAAATTGAACTGAGGTCTCACACTCAGGCTACCAAATGGCTTGTTCAGCTATTAATAGTGTTGGGTTCCTACCTGTGACCTGCAGTTGCAAAGCTGTGTAATGAGTCATTACCAATCCCTTGGAAGCATCCTTCTCCTAGATTAGGACTGGTAGGTAGGATTTTCCTCCTTTGCACTAGAAATCCTTCTTTCTAAGCATTATAAATCCCTTATTATATTATTATTGTTATTATTATTTATTTATTATTTTATTTATATTGTGGTAGTAGCAGGTTGGGGGCCCACAATTGTAGATTGTACCAGTTTCTATGCTAACTTTTCCAGTGGAAAGTAAACAGTTTAAATATATGGGTTTAGAATCATTTTCCATGAGCTGAACACCTGATAATTTTGTAGGCAGCATCACAGTTCGTGTGCTGTTTGCACCCTTGTGCTTGCACTTGCTGTAGAAGAAATCCCATTAATGTTTTAACATAGTCAGATATTAAAACAAAACCCTGATTATTGTTATCATTTTGTCTTCAGAAAAGGCCATCTTTCAAGCAGATCATTTCAATTCTGGAATCCATGTCCAATGACAGTAACCTTCCAGACCAATGTAACTCATTCCTGCATAACAAGGCAGAGTGGAGGTATGTTTCTTTGCTTCCCAAATAAGATGATATGGTGTTCATGTGAAATGATGTGGGCAAATTAAGACTCTTTCCACAGGGTTAAGTGATGAATTGTGTGGCTGGCATTAAAGTTACTAAAAAGAGAAGAAATCAGACTTAGGTGGAAAGATGGTAATCTCTTTCTTAATACAAAATACTTGTTCAGTAGATATTTTTGGAACATATTTGATCTTGGTTTTTTTCAAGACTACCCAGAATGTTGTGGAACGTGAGTTATGAGTCAATATGCTTAAGCAGTACACTTTATTAATATACACTTTTTAAGTATCATAAATGTATACAGATTTTGTCATACAAATCTTAAAACCAGGTATGTGTATTTAGTCTCTAATGTGAAGATGTTTGTGATTCAAGCCATATATTACTACATTTGTACATATCTGTGTGTAGAAGTGTGCAAATTACATGTTACACAGGGAAGGAACATAAAAGGCCACGTTTTCAAAACAAGCCTACATTTATGAGTCTGAATCTTTGCATGTGCAGCCACTTGATGTTATCAGTTGTGCATCTGCATGATAGGACTTACTTCTGCCAACCCCATTACTTGTGATAATGCACAAAAATTGTCTGAACAAATGATACGACCTGTTTCCAGTTGTATGCTTACAAATGGAGACCCAGGCAAAGGCTCTTTCAATTATTTGGAACAGTTTTTTAATCCAGTTTTCAATCTGTTTTATATGTGTGCAAAGAATAACATAAGAGAAATCCAAAAGCTTCTTTCTCAGTATGTAAGCTTAGTGCTTCACAATATTTCTTAGTGTTTGGACAAGACTTTTGAAAGCAGATCTGCACAGACAGAGGATTGTTACCAGATGATCTTACTGCAGTCTATATTAAGAAGCTTTGGCCGCTGTCCAGGTAAACTGGGAGCACAAATACTCAGATATTCTGTGCCTGCAGCTCTGAAAACAAGCAAAGAAAAACATTCAAGAGAACTGGAGCTGGGAAGTAGAGAATAAGGAAGAGATTATAGACATGAGATTTAAACAAAACAATCCCAAACTTTGTTGGTGAACTTCAAAGGCAAATTGATAACTAGGGAATTTTATTGTGTGTGTGGAAAAAGTGAGCACAAGATGGGATGTTTGAGCCAGGTCACATGATGAGAGTATAAATAGCATGTTTTAGAGCTGACATTATTCCTGCACTGACTCAGCAGAGAATCTGGTAACTGTATCTCAGCTCTCAGTACAGTATACTAACATTTTGCGCCATCTGCTGATATAAAATGTAAACTGCATGTATACTAGAAAATCAGCAATTTGATCTTGAAGTGCCCGGTACACAACAAATTTCTAATGCATTGATGTTCAACTATCTAAAAATATTATTTTTGTCGAAAGTTCAGCTAGGTTTTATTTATCAGCTGAAGGAATCTGGGTTGTTCTTATGTTTAATTCTTCCATGTTTGTTTAAACTGCACTTAAGTTGTTGGATGACTTCTATTTGTCACATTTATTTTTATGAGAAATCAGTATATCTGTTTCCCTATCTTCTTCCCTCCCCTGCCTCCCCACTCCCCCCCCAATTTGGCTTGGGATATCTTTTGAATATGAATGTCTCTCAAATAGGGATCCACCAGATTCTTTTGGGATATGAATTGTTTGTTGGACACCATGATTCTTGCAGATTTCTGGGCTGGCATTTTATCTATTTTGCATTTTTGGTAGCAAGCAGAAGGCAAAAAATGTTGGAAGAATAAGTCTCATCATGGGGGTTTATTACATGACCACAAGCAGCCTCCACATTTTCTGCCACTGTTCCTTTAAACTTTGGTGAGATCAGTCCTGCTACTATAATGGTAATTGCTGCTTTTTTATATATATATAATCCGGATAGCTGCCTTTTGCTATTATTGAGTGTTAAACTTCATATAAAGAAGTTAACCCAATGGATCTGGTAAGGAACATTTATATTAAAGATGGGCAAGTACTCAGATTCCTGAAGGAACCAAACAACTATCCACTTAAATCTTGTCCATTCAGCAAAGTAGATACCTGTTGAATTGACATTCAGTAAAATTAAACTTTTATTCTTTTGGTAAGTTTATTCCTTTATCAGGAATCTTCTCCAGATGGCTTACCTGTTTTATGAAATATTTCATTTTGGGACACAGAAACTGTTGCACTGTGAATACTGATTAATGTTTTGTAAACATAAAGCACGGCAAGTGAAAAGTGTTGTTCTAGCCGTGGAAAAGCATTTCAGCAAAGGTACAGTTTCAAGGTAAAATTGAATTATAGAATTTTTCAGAAGAGTTGATAAACTTATAGACAAGGGAAACAGGAGAGGGAAAAAAACTTATTCGTGATCAAGAACAATTCACTTGGAAGCAAAGATAAATTTTAAGTTAAGTAGTCTGAGAAATGTGGAACAGTTAGAAAGAAACTGGGGTGTATGGAGGTATATATAGTGGGATGTATGGAAACTCTGTCCAACAGTTGGGATGAAAAGGGTTACTCTACTGCTGATTAGAATAAGGGCCACAATTGCTTGCCCTGAGTCTAGGGGCATGTTTTCGTGGGGACACTCAGGGAAGATAATGAGAATTAACTAAAGGTGTGCAAATTTAAAGAGCCTTAGTTAAAATGTATTAAATTCCTGTGTGGACTCTCTTATTCAGAAGTAAAGTGGCCCAAGGGGATTAAGCTAAAGCAAACTTAAGGCCACTGTACTTCTGAATGAGAGCAGCCACAAGAGGCTTTAAGGCACTTTAGCTAGGGGCTTGTCTACAATTACAGTGCTGCAGTGATACCGCTGCACTGGTGCCACTGTAGCACCTAGTGAAGATGCTTCCTATGCCGATGAAGGGGTTCTCCTGTTGACATAGTTAGCCCACCTTCTCAAGAGCCGGTAGCTGTGTTGACAGGAGAAGCCCTCCAGTTGACATAGTGCTGTCTACACCAGGCGTTAGAGCAGTATAACTGTGTTGCTCAGGGGTTCACACCCCTGAGTGATGCAGTTATACTGAGCTAAGTTTCTAGTGTAGACCCAGCCGCAGGCTCTTTAAATTTACACCTTTAGTTACAGTGAATTAACTTTCCTGAATGTCCCGGTGTAGACATGCCCTAGGAATTTGGCCAGTAGCAAGTTGGGCCAGCTATAGGTAAGAATAGGAAGTGCTGTCAAGAGTTAGCTCAGATGATGACTGGCTGCAGAAGTCAGAGAGAAGATTGGAGCTGAGGATGAGAACGGGGATGTGGCTCTCTCCTTGCAGAACCCCGGGAGAGGTGAGCCACGCTCTGTTACTTACATTTGGGATTTGGCTGAAGACAGTCACTCCTGAGGAAAGTCGGTTTACATTTGTTTCACCCTTAAAAGGGCAGAGCAATCTTTTGTTTTGTATGATGATCAGCAGTAAATTGCACCCCACAGGGGCTATATGATGCCACAGAGTACATAGACTCCGCTTTTGGACTTACAGTAGCTCTGACTGGCATGAAACAGAGAACTGGAGAGTTGATTTTGTACAGAGCGGACAGAGTAAAAATAGGCAGAATACAATTTGTCCCATCTCTAATATGTTTTTGATTGCAAGCTTCCTGTGATGTCTGTTGGTAAAAATCCAAAGTATTTGATTTAATATGTCTGTTTTTATCATTGTCTAAACGTAATCCAGATCTTCTTATTCCCCAATATCTGATATTTTTACAAATGGAGGTTCTTGTTTCTGACTAACAGTCTCAGGATTGGCAACATAAAACTTATCTTGAAGAGCATATTTAATAGTTCTTTCTGCAGGTCTCTTATTAGGGTTGAAAAGTAATGTAAATGTTCATTGTTAAATAGAGATTGTATTTAGTATGCATTTTTTCATGTATACTAGCCATGTTCTTTCCTTTTTTTGAGAGCCTCTATTCTGGCTATTTAAATGTGATAGATCAAAATAAGCATTAATACTATCAATGAAAATGCAAAACTAAAAAAAACACCACATACCAGTCACGATTTTTGTCTGTATCATTTATAATAAGACACATTCTCTGAGACTGTAGGATGAAATGGTTCAACAAAATCAAGCAAGCAAGATCAAACTGCAGAACTACAGATACACATGTCTTATAATGTATGTTACAAGCTGCTATATTTATGAAGTAACAGACTCATTAACTGGGCAATGTACGGTAGCTTTCTCTTTAATTACACTGTTTTATTATATACAGTGGAATTATTTTTCAGAATGCAGCTGTTTTCACAGACTGACCTTTTATTAGAAGAGACGTTTCTGTCTAATGAAGAGAGATAATTACAGTACACAGTATGCTTTTGACATATGGAAAGCTATTGTTATCAGGACTTTCCTGTTGCAGAATTTTATTTAAGAGAAAACTATAATTTACATATTTTAAAATGTATAAAACTACATATAAGTAGCAATAAAGTTGAGACACAAACCAACAAAAGCAATGCTAACAAGTGTCCTCAAATTGTCCTATTGTACACACAATAGATATAATAATATACATGGTACATAATGTAAGTTAGAATATTAACGTCATCAGTTTTTTTGTCACTTTCAGGCCTTTTAAATTACACAATACTTAGTAGACTTGGTCCTTTAAAAAGACTAGATGTTTTAGTCAAAAAATATATTAACCTTTCTCTTCTGCAGAACTGGCTGTAGCAGTTTTTGCAAGGCCTCCAAGATCTGAGGTCTTCCTGGAAATCAAGGAATTGATGGTTATGTTGTTTGCTGGACCTTCAAATGATAGCCTTGGGTGAAGGGATTGTGAATCACCTATGGTCTTTAGGAAAAAAACTAACAACAAGCTTTCAACCCTAGTAATCTGTTTGCATTAGTTCATATTTTCAAGCCTACTTTTTTTTTCTTTTCTTTTCTCTCTCTCTTTTTTTTTTTTTAAATGAGGGTCGAGTTCCCCTTTATGTTTGTAGGGGACCTCAGCCATGACCTCAGGCTTTATGTGATCACAAAGGATATCATTGACCTCTTCATATCTGAGATAAAATTTTGCCTAAGATCACATGTTAAAATAAATGTGATAGACATTTGTTCTGACCACTAAATTAACAGTAAAATCAGCATGATTGGCTGTCTGTACTTCAAGAAGTGCCCCCAGGCAGGACTGTAATTTGTATGCTAGATATTAGGTGTAGCGGCAGAGTTTATTTTGTTAGCAGGGTTGCCAAAGTGATGAAAGTTCTTCATTTTCATGAGCACCAAATTCTGACACAGATTTCTTATAAAAAGGGGGGGGAAGTATTCGATTTTGAGTATTTAAATTACTTAATTGTTATCATTTTTTAAAAAATTGGAATGGTATATGAGCTTTCACAAACTTTCAACCTGAGCTGCTTAAGGTGGGTGTTGCAGCTGAATCACCTTATGCTAGATTTGGAGGAACACTGCAAAAAATAATAATATTTACATTCTTTCAAATAAACCTACAATTCACTTTGCTCCAGTGTTTGCAGCCCCTTTTATTTGCGTTCTGCAAACATCTGTGGGAGCAAATGTTGTTTGCACGATTGTTTTGTGGAGGTGGAAAAACCTTGTGAATAGTTGTTCAGGAGCGTTTGCAACTGAAGTGTTCGTGTGGTCATCTTGAAATCTCCCTATGGGAGTTTAGAGAGCAGAAACAATGCCATGTGACTAACCAGTCAGACAGCATGAATACTGGACACTTGAGGCAGCAATCAGGGTACACAATTTGCAGCAATCTACAGGCTACACTATGTTCATATAAAGCATTAGTCAAATAACTTCAAATAATGAGTAAGTAAGTACAAATCAAAGTCTGTTCTTGATTATTCACAAGGAAAAACCTGTGCTATCGTCAATGAATTATTTGTTTGGCCCATCTCTATTATATACAGATTAGTGTACATATTATAAAAGAGAGATTGTTGAATGATCTTCCAAGGGGACTGATGGATGTTCCATTCAGAGACATTTTGATGCTAGATTGGACAAGCCATTCGAAAATATGCTGAAGGGAACAATCTTGCATCTAATTCACCCCTCACAGATGAAATTTTACAAGAATGGTATTGAAAACCCCTTTCCGACTCCTCCTTAACTTCCCATCTCTCATACTCATTCACACCCTTCTGAGTCCTTCCTTTTAATTTCAGAGTAAAGGTATATTACGATTTGGGCCTCAAAAAACCCAAAAGGCCTCTAAAATCAAAGCTAGTCTGATGTAGAGAGGTACAAACCAAATCCTTGTGAATCCAAACTATGTGACCCATAACTTTCTATTATTTTAAGTAACGTGACCAAAAAGCGTTGGTGTGGGGTTACATTTCTGTTATGTTTTAACCTTGAGAAACTGGGGTGGGGAAAGTCCTCTACTGAGACTGTATAACAAGCTTCAGCCCAAATAGTATTTATGGCCAAGTTATAAACTCCAAGCAAATGGGGCTGTTAGCCTACACATATAGCAATGCTAGTGATTGCCCTATTATCACTTCCGAACCGACTTTCCTTCACTGATAGCACCTATTTCATTATATTAAAAGAAAAGATGGAATTTTCCTTTTTTTTTCTTTTAAACAGTAAGGCATTCTGGTTTATCCTCTGGTATAAACATTACCAGTTGTTTTTAATGCTCTGAAAGGCTTTGTGTTTGGTGGTAATTAAATGTACTGCTTGAGTTAGTGTTGTACTTTTCAGCTTTTCACATTTAATTAATGTTCATGTGGGAATTATGAACAATTTATATCTGTCAAAAAAAGACAAGACTTAACAAATTGTCTCTCTGCAGATGTGAAATTGAAGCAACCTTAGAGAGGCTGAAGAAACTGGAGCGTGATCTGAGCTTTAAAGAGCAAGAGCTCAAGGAACGGGAGAGACGTTTGAAAGTATGGGAGCAGAAGTTAACGGAACAGTCCAATACTCCTGTAAGTAAAATAATTCAATCTTTCCTCTGACTGCAAAAAGCATTTGGATCATTGTCTGAGCAAATCTAGGGAAATTCCAATGAAAGATGTCTACTATCGTCTCCATTTGGTCCTGTGGGGCTATTATGGCCTGTTTTATTAATCAATACAAATAATACTCTTTAAAATTCACTCAATGCATTACACATAAGATACTAACTATGGGCCATATTGTGCCATCAGTAAATAAACAGTTTCCTGTTGATTTAATTGCATTTCTAAGCTTAAAAATTGATAGTCTTAAATGAGAGAGCAGCACACTCTTTATATGTCCATATTGGTGTAAATCTCTTGACAACAGTGTGATCCAACAACAAAAAGGGGAATGTATTTCATATTTATTATTGTGATACTTTATAAAATTTTTGTTTTATATGTTAAACCTGTGTATTTAATAAAAGCACAATCCTGCTCTCATTAGACAACAAGAACTTTTCTGTTGACTTTAATGGAAACAGGATGGGGCCCTAAAAGTAGTAACTTATAGTCTCTGCAGAAAAAGACTTCAGAAATGTATCTGAGTGTTTGATAACTCGCTCTGCAAGGAGCACAGCCAAAATTGATGTCTTTACATTTTATAGAAGGCCACAAATCTTGAGTGGGGATTTGAACCTTCAGTAATTAATGTGTAGGACTGATCAACATCTTAGTACTAGCAAATGCACATTATTTTATTAACTGAAAGAAATGTGCCCATTTCCATGAATACATTAAAATAAATAATATTTTCTGTATTAGCCTGAGCTCCTTGCTGAGGTTTAACTCCCATTGACTTCAGTGGAAATTTTGCCAGAAATTGGAGTGCATGGTCAGGTCCTGAGTGTTTGTATTGGAACACAGTTAATTTAGCATCATAATTGTGACACTTGCTTAATAGAATTACAACAATATTTCTGCTTCTATTTTCAGTATTAGCCAAAACAAATGCCAACTTGAGTTTGCAGTAGTTTGCCATTCCCTTATGCAATCAGTTATGATTCCGTAGGTTCAGCGTTCTAATACGCAATTAAGTCCTGCTTACATAGTAATATTGATTCTAGCCAATCCAGTTTACTTGCAACTTAGTTTTGAGGCACAGCATATTGGCATTTATATGAATGAAGTTGTGCACATGTTCCAGCTGTGAACATGTAGAAGTGTAATGATAAAGAATGAATGTTTTCCTATATCCAGACACTGTATGTTCTAAGTCGGTATCTGTGTGCTTGCTTTAACACCAGCAAACTTCCAGTAACTGAGCTGTGGGCCATCTCCTATAAAGTGCACAGCACGAGACACAGCCTTAATGAGCCAATCTTTTTGTGAGCAAGGCCCAAGGGCTGTTTTATGCTGTACTTGCTTATCACGTCCACTTTTCACTTGTAGCTGGCATTGCTGAAGGAAGAATTCATTGTGCTAAGGCCTGTTGTGCTTATCATGGACTTCTGTTCTGCATAACATTAACCCACCTCTCTTACTGCATTTAAATTATTGAGAACAAGTGTGAAATACAAAGGTTTATTTTTCTGAGACCTTTAATGAACTACTGTACTGCTGAAGATCGCCATTTTCAAATTTTTGTGTAGAGACAAAAACTTGCCCTGTTCTATCAGAGTTGCTTTCTTCATAGCAAAGTAGCTTCTATTCAGTGCTAATTTACAAATAAAAAGAAATCTTTTATTTCTAGCCATATGGAAAACAGCACTGCTGGGCGTTCTCTTTGTAAGTGGTGATCCTTGCAGACAAGAGTCTCTGTGCTCCCCTCAACTGTGAAGCATGGAGGAGGGCAAATAAAACTAGAATTATGTAGAGCATGGGGTGTGGCTAAATCTATGCAACATGGACTTAGTGATAAATGGACTTAGTGATAAATGGTCACTTGCGCCAAAAATCACAAGCTCCCAGTCCTGAGAGACCAGACTTATTTCAGATCAATTTATACCTTAGATCTCACATCAAAGACAATGCTGGTAGCCAATCCTATAGTAAACAAACTAAATACTTATTAACTAGGAAAAAGAAATGAGTGTTATTTACAGGTTAAAGCAGACAACATATAAGCATAAACGAGTTACAATCTATGGTTCCAAAAGGTGACACAGATGAAGTAAGCTGTCAGTGCTGAATGTCTTTTAGGGCTAATTGAGGTTGACCCAGGAGATTGCGGCTTTTGTTTCTTAGCTCCAGCTCTTGTGAGAGGCCAAACTGCAAAGAGATAAATGTTTCTTCCTGTGAGGATCTTTATATGACCTTGCCCCAGAGTTAAAATCGATGGGATAAGGGCTCCTGCACGTAACTTCTTCATGGGTGGATGGAGCAATCAACTAAGTTTTTATCCTACAGTGGCCCATTTAATCTTGATAGTCCTCCTTGGTGGGCAGGGAAACCACTCCCTTCTTGCTCAGAGTCACAAATTCAGAGCAGGCATTTTTACAATTATAAAGCAAAACTTTCATATTACCTTACCGCATGGGCTACAGACATTACAAGTAAGATGAATGCATGCAGAAACTTATGAGCATTTTATAGAGTCTAAACACATCTTTACAAGTTTATCACCTATCTTAAACAATATTAACTTATAGGTGAGCAGGTCTGCTTTCCAGCTATGAATCTGCCAGTGCTCAACTGATGCCTACAGCCTGGGAGAGCCTCAGCAGTGGCCGGTGTGGCTGGCCCCGGGAGCTGCAGGAGCAGCAGCGGTCTCAGGGAGCATCCCAAGATGGCCCCAGGGACAACCTAAGCAGCAGTGGTCCCGGGGGTGGCCCTGGAGGCCATCAGGAGAGTGGTCCCCGGGGGCCTTGGAGCAGTGGGCCACCGGGGGCAGTCAATCCCCATTGCTGGTGCAGAGGCCCCCCCCAGAGCAGTGTGGTCCAGGAGCAGAGATTTAGTCATGGGTATTTTTAGTAAAAGTCATAGACAGGTCATGGGCTGTGAACTTTTGTTTATTGCCGGTGACCTGACCATGACTTTTACTAAAAATACCCATGACTAAATTATAGCCTTACTCATGAACAACTTTACTGACAGTCCATGCAGTTTGCTCCCCTGGGATGCAAACATGTAGGGGTCACCTGGAAAGCATGAGGGAACTTACTGCTAGTGGGGCAGAATAGAGAGCGGCACAGGAGCCTGAGGATCTGCAATGGTTGGAGATTCTTTCCTCAAAGATCCCTGGGCTCCATAGGTTTTGAAGGGTGTGATCCATCCAGAAGGCCACAAGTCTCTCTATTCCTCAGTCTTTTAGTGTGGCAGCACCCAAAAGATTTTTTTGAAATAAAGCCCACCTGCTACATGGAGTTTGCTTGAAGAGAGAAAACCCAAAAAAGTGAAGTGTGGGATTTTTATCTGTGTGGCGCTAATCTACTGTAGGTGAAGCAAGTAGATGGGTTTGAAGTTAATGGGAAGCATGTGTTAATGCATAGGAACAAACACCGGGAAACTGTTCTGGGAATCGAGCTGCGTTAGGCATAGTCTGAATAGATGGTTGCCACATTTAAGGGGCCAGTCCTGAGCAGCTCTTCTTTTAACTGCAGAATTTCTCCCCACACCTGCATGAACCTGGTCTCTGCTCCGTCTTGTGCTGCAGGCACTTTTTGAATCTGATATTCTGTGGCCACATCATCTCTTGTAAAGCACTGCTGCACAAAGGAATCTGGGGCTAATTTGGCAAATAAAACATAATCTGCTGCACACATTGGTTCCACAACAGGACACCCATCTGAAGGAGGAAAGGCCACAGAGAAGGGAATGGGTAGGTTCCCCTGAGCTGGGTGTGCTAGAGGAAGGAAACTGGGAGGGATTGGTGAAGGTGTGCACCAAATTCAGTATTAACTTAGACTGCAATGTGCTTAGATCTGGCCATTTAAAAAAAATATTATGGATTTCTGTTGTGGTTGCAACTGGAAACCCAGCGATGGAGCAGGGCTCTTTTGTGCTAGGCACTGCACACTCATAACATAAAGACAGTCCCTCCCTGTAACAGGGCATCCTTCCGTTCCCCACAGAAATTGTGTGGACTCCAGTGGCTGTGCATTCACAGCGCCCTTTTATTTTAAGTTCCTTGTGCCATTATCACAACAGTCCCTGTGCAACAGGAGATTTACAATATCTATGGTTCTTTGGTCCTCTCCCCCAGACCTGAGGGGAACTGAGGTCTCCCTTCCCTGAGGATTTCATGTGACTGGGCTCAGCTAGCCCTGTTCCCCTGTCCCCAGCTCTTCCTTCCCAGCCCAGTCGTGGGCTGATGGGCTAATTGAATCTTTATTCCACTCAGTCCACCAGCCTGATTAGATAATTACCCCAATCAGCTTCCTCTGGGAACTAATTAGCATCTGAGTGATCAGAGTTCACTCCCTGCACTCTGTCACACTCCCCCAGCGAGCTCTTAGACACAGATTTTGAAAGGTCTCTAGGCATTTCTGCACTAAACATTGCAACGCCTGTCTCATTTCAAAAGGGATTTAGGCACTTAGGAGCCTAAATCCCATTGACTTCCAATGGGTATGTTTACACCGCAATTAAAAACCCACAGCTGGCCTGTGCCAGCTGACTTGGGCTCATGGGACCTGGGCTAAGGGGCTGTTTAATTGCAGTGTAGATTTCTGGGCTCGGGCTGCAGCCTGAACTAAGGGACCCTCCCACCTCAAGGGCTTAGAGTCTGGGCTCCAGTCCAAGCCTGGAGTCAGCTGGCACAGGCCAGCCACAGGTTTTTAATTGCAGTGTAGACATACCCCAATGGGCCTTAAAATTGCAAGTGCCCAAATCCTTTGTGAAAGTGAGACTTCAGATTTTACATCAGTCTGGCGTTGCAGTGCTGATTTCAGCAACACCCAAACACCTTTAAAAATCTGGGCTTTAGTCTTTGTATATGACAAGAGGCAACAGGTGGATACAACAAATACATGCATCCGAAGAAGTGAGGTTTTTACCCACGAAAGCTTATGCCCAAATAAATCTGTTAGTCTTTAAGGTGCCACCAGACTCCTTGTTGTTTTTGTAGATACAGACTAACACGGCTACCCCCTGATACTTAACAAATACATGGGAGAACACAAGGAACAGTGAGGTGATTATAGTTAGCATAATGAGTAGTAGTCACAGCACATCAGCTGCCTAGCCATTGTCAAATGTTGTGTAGCCATCATGACAGAGGTGAGATTTAGAGAAACACTTGAAGGAGGACAATGTAGTAGCTTTGTAGATTTTTAGAGGGGACTCCTCCCATGCATAAGGAGGATTCTGATATGCCTAAAATCCCCATATAGGGGCTGAAATCGCTCTCTGCCATGGAAGTAGTATAAACTGGGCACCCTGAAACTATGCTCAAGATTTCTACGTACTACTCCCCAAACCCCCATACATGAGAGCCTTGCTTTTTTTGTATTGAGTAAGATTTTATGGCAGAAGGTGACTTGTGTGATTTTTTTTTCCTATTCAGCTTGCAGCTTATAAAATTAAATCTTAAGTCGGAGGCATCATATCATTCATAGATAGAGCTCTGTGATTTAAGGAGAATGATTTAATGGTTCCCCATGTGATGTTACACCCCATTTTAATAATTTTCCCAGTAACAAATTGTGAGCAGAAAACAGACTGAGCAGTTGTGATTAGGTTAAGCAAGATGTCTGGAAAGCAATACAAACTTAGTTTGGAAAACAGCTCTGGAAATAAAGGCCATTTCAGCAGTACAGAAATAACATAACATGCTGCCCCTTTAGTAGGTTAATTTTGAATCCAACACCAGAGCTCTTGCTCACTGTGATGAGCAGGTATGTCACAGAGGTTACTAGTTTGGCCTCCTTGAAGAGGCATTAATCATGATTTAGCTCTAGAGGACATTTTTCATTCTGTTGAAAAAAATGGTAGTAACAAACTAGGTCAAGATAATGCCCTGATGTGTAAGTGGAGATTAAATCCACAATGCCTTGTATTGCAGGGTATACAGAAACACACCAAATATAGGTTTATAGGAGCAATTTATTAATAGTCCAGAACTAGAGACCTGCTCATACTTCCATTGAAGTTGGTAAAAATTTTGTCTCTGACTTTAACAGTGGTAGGATTGGTCTATAACCCTCCTTTTGATTGTGACCTCAAAAATGGTGAACAAAAAGTTAATTCAATCTACCTAGATCTGTACATACACGTTACTGCTGTGGTATCTTCTGATCTCTGGATAAAAACATTTCACTCTGCATCAGGGGCTTGTCTGGGTTCTTTAATCCTACGTTGATTTATTGTGCAATTCTGAATACTAAAATTAAGCATCTCAATCGAGACATGGCTCTGCTTGTACCTAGATTCCTGTGGTAAAGTCCACACGAGTTAGAGAAATGTTGTAAACCATTTTGTATGGTACAAAATGAGAGATTCAAAAGTTGGAACTTTCTTTCAACATGAAAGCTGGGCTACCTATGATCCTTTGCACACTGTTTGGTGGTGGTTTTGCTCTTTCATTTTAAAAAAATTTAAGCCAAGTCTGTTTTAATGAATTCTTACTTGAGCTCCATGTTTTGATTCACTAATCATTTTGCTTTCTGTTTATTGCTAACTAATCTGGTAGTGTCTTTTTTGCCTTGAATTGAATTGGTTCTAACTTTCCTTTTTACTCTGTCCTTTCCTCCTTTAAATAGCTTTTCTTACCTATTGCTGCAAGAATGTCTCAGGAGTCTTACTTTGAAACTAAAACAGAGGAATCAAACAGTGCAGAGATGTCATGTCAGATCACAGCAACAAGTAACGGGGAGGTAGCTGGCATGAACCAAAGTCTGCAGGCCTTGATGATGAAGGGCTTTGGGGGTATCTTCTCTATGAACCAAGCAGGATCTGTCCTGCATTCTGGAATGCAGATAAACATGCAAGCCAAAAAGAATTCTTCTAAAACCACCTCTATGAGAAAGGGGAAGAAAATCAACATGGCTGTGGGTTTCAGAGAATTTGACTGGTCAGATGATGATGAAGATGATGATTTTGATGATACAGATGATTCTAGTGAATGAAATTAGAAAACTAATTACATCTAAAATTTGTTTCTAGCAAATAAAAGCAATAAAGTTTCAGAAAAATCATCCTGTCATTTTGGTCTGTTTCAAACCCTGTAAAAGAAACAAAAGCAAAAACACTACATTTTTCTAGGCCAGTCATATTTGTATGTTAAAAATCTATCTTGTTGGTTTTTAGATTGTGTTGACCTATTTTTGCTTTGCTGAAATTTGGAACAAAAATTTCAAAACAAATTGAGGTTTTTAAAACCCACAAAATATAGCTGCAGCTCAAATTTATGCTGTAATATTTGGTGTCTGATTATAGAAACTTCTGTGGCTGAATATGTTTAAGATCTGAAAACAATGGGGGAGCTTAAACACCTATTTTACTTAAACATACATCCATTACTTTTCTTTTTGTTTTTGTAGTTTTCTTTACCTGTTTTATTGTTGATCATATGAACATATTTGTGTTTCCATGTGGGCTTTTCCTATACAATCCATTCTTTCTGACTGCTACAGTGAAGTTGTTTTGCTAAATTTGTGATTTCTCAATCATTTTCAAGGCAATATCCTGTGATATCATAAATACATTACTAAGAAGGCTAAGCAGGGTTGAGAAAAATAAAGCCCTTTCAAACTACAGTTTAAGAAATAGCAATTGAATACAGACAATCACTGGTAATAGATAATTTGTATAAATGTTCTTTTCTCTCTTTCTCTTTAGCTTGTGAAATTCACTCTTTAGTACAGTCACTTACAATAAAACCTCACCATCTAATTGCATTGTGGTAGTCTACAAGCTCACTGGTTTTCTGTTACATGGGTGTAAATCCAGGAAATCTCATTAACTTTGATGGCTTTACTCTGGATTTATTCCGGTTTTGCTGAGAGCAAAATTGGTCTTAGGTTATTTACAGCAATTTTTTATTTTGCTGTAACTATTAAACCATTTATCACTGTCCTTTCCAGAATAGGGGAGAGAGATACATTTTAAAAGTGTTTGAGCCCTCCTACTGTGGCTTAAGCTAAATTCTCAGTGATGACATGAAGAATATTCTCTAAAGTTTAAATATCCATTTTTCTGCTGTGAAATCATTTTAAAAATATTGCCACTGTTATTATGATTCATCCTAAAATTGAGTATATAAGTATCTGTTGCAGTAATTACCCCACAAACACTCTGCCCGGAACAGTGAATGTATTTTCCTGATGAACTCTTTGGTGGTGGCACAGAAAGAGAGAAGGAAACAGATACATTCACACCTACAGGTGCAGAAGATAGGCCCATTGTAAAACGTTTGCCAAATAAAGAAGGGCAAAAATTTTAAAGAAAAGGGTTACTTTCATGTTCAGTTGGATTTGAGGGGATAATTAAATTCCTAAGTGTCATGTGTTGATGGTGTTTCTCTCATGAAAAATGGTGATTAATGCTGTTTAAATACCTTAGAAAGTAGAATCATTACATGATAGCAGGTCTGAAGTTGGATCTCCAAGAGTTTGGAACATTATATTCTACTATTTAGAAATAAGAGAAAAAGTTCTTGAGAAGTTTTAAAATTAGCTTTTCTAGGGTGACAAGTGCAATCTTTCCTCATGTAAGGCCCAGTGCTGTTCTGGTCACCTGCAAAGCACTCAGTGCTTTCAACAATGCTTGAGTTCAACTGGAGCTAAAGATCTCAGCACCTCACAGGACTGGGCCCTTAACTGTATGAAATGTATAGAATTTGAGCCAGGTTCCACCCTCTTGCTAGCAGGTTCAAGTCCATTGTCTTTGTGATATCCGGGGCAATTTTTTCATGCTAGTAAGAATTTGTCATTTCAACACTGAACAATGCAATACGTTCTTATTAGGATAATTTGCTATATCTTGTCCAAGTGAAATTTGCTCCTACAATATCAGTGGTAATAGCATTTTAGGAGCACTAAGCAAAGTGACTGAGGGTGTGGAGAGGGACAGAATAGAAAAGGGGCAACAAATTAAATGGAAATGGCAGCAAACAAGCTACTTCCAAATGCAGATTTGTATTGTTTTTTAAGTCTGCACCTGCTAACAGCTACCGCAGCAACGTTATTTTTATAACCACTATACTACAGGCAGGAAAAATTGAAGGATTTGTATAATCTAATATGTATCTATGTTAAACTACTGTACCATATTTCTAGTGTAGAGTTGCACAGCTGTAACTGAAGTCAAAATTGAACCCAATATGTTTAGAAATGCAAAAACAAAAATATCTCTTCTTAGCACTGATACTGATACTTTGCACTTTTAAAGCACCTAATAATCTCAATGCACTTTATATACATACGTGCTGGTTTTAATTAGATGTTCAAATCCACTTCTTGATTTAAATCTTCACCTAATAAAATATTCCAACACTACTATATCACATCACTTTTTTGTTGAGGACAGATATTCTCATGCATCTCTTATTAAAGTGAATAGGAGTTACTTGAGCATAATAAATGGAATAATTTGGCATCTTGTACATAGAGAGCAGAGCTGGTAAAAATAATTTAAATTTAATTTGTCAATGAAAAACAAGGACAACATTTTCATGAATTGTCTCTATTTTTTAGCCAACTCTAATAAAGATCTATTGAGAAATAAAGAAATAACTCTCCAAACATTTACTTTCATGTTCAAAGTAGAAAGGTCCTAGAATTGTTGTAAAAGAAAGATCTACTAAGCTCAAGGCTTTTCCCAAACTTTCCTGTTGTGATTCCTTTAAAGTACGGTTATATTCAAAATAGTAGCTTCGCTTACAAAATGACATTGTGGAGGTCTATTTTTTTATTCTCCTATAATGACTGCCATACCAAATGTGTTCAGTTTACAAGTCACAAATAAATTGTGCTTGACTATCCAGCTATGTTGTTTCTGCCTCAAACATCCTCACTATATTTTAATTTTGAAAGTTATGGAGGCAAAACAAAACCGTTTTGATCTTCCACCGTTGATTTTGCTCTGCAGTGCTAGCAGGATTAAACTTGTTTTTTTAATCTATCTAGATGTCCAAACACCAAAGGGTCTACAATAGTTGCTAATAATAGTTAACAGTTACATAGCATGTCACATGATCAAAGTATTAACCAAAAGTTAATTAATGAATCCTCCCAGGGCCCTATGAGGCAGATAAGGTGAAGTGTTGTTATCCTATTTCACAGCTGGGGAAGTTGATACAGAGAAGTTAAAGGCCAAATCTGAACTTCTAGTTTTTACTCAGTCATTATACTTAAACTAACACTGGCTTTAGTGGGACTTATTTCCTGACCTGAGGAACTCAGAGTTTAGCCCTTTTATTTACCCAAAGCCACATAGTGAGCTGGGATTAGAACTCAGGATTTCCTGACTCCGAACCCAGTTCTCATTCTTTCAGACTTGGAAAAGTTGTAGGGACTAGATATGCTGAGTAAGACTATTTTAATGTAGTCACTTTTCTAACTGTAATAATACTAATGCTTTAGAATAGCAATTGCTCTGAGATCTAATGCTTAGATCTGAGGACTTAGTTTCAGGGCTTATATTGTTTGTGGAGTGTTTGGATATGCTTGATCAGCTGGCTATATTTGTTAGTTGTAATACTTGGACTTAGTCTCCTCTAGATGCTGGGAATTTTTGAGACATGAGATCTGAAGTAGCTCTTCGGCACATGGTCATGTTCTTGACTTGTTGTTCATTTATCATTGCAGTATTTTATTAGATTTTGATTTCATTTCATTGTAGATCTTAAAGCAGTTATTCTAATTAAATATTGATACGTTAATGATTTATATTGCTATCAGCAGCAGTAAATCCACAGCACACATAATAAAGCTAATAAGTAACTAGCAAAGTTACTGTACATCTTTAGTAAGCTATTTTCTGTTTTTGCAATAAGGCAGCTTTTACAGGTTTTTAATAAGACCTCCGACTTGATAGAGGTTTAATTACAGGCCAATCGAGAATCCATTCTGTTCTTCCAACTTTCATGTAGCAAAATAAGGTCACAGGACATGCAATAATTTTTACAGTCCTTAAATGTACCAATAGAAATCTGGAGAGGAATGCACTTTTCCCCCCTGACTTCAACGTAGTGCACACTATGAAGTCTGTATAGAGGTTTCTGGTGTGTGAAGATTTAGTTTCAGGACTGTAGTATCAACAACCTACATTAAACATTTTACGTTGTGTGCAAAATATTCTGCTGACTTTTAAAGTCAGATATAGTCCACTGCATTTTCTTGCTTTTGCACTCTTTAAAAAGTTTTGTACTGAATACTAGGAAATGATTCTATTTATACTCCAAGTGTGAGCAAATGAAATTTTAATAGAAAATATTTTCACAGTGTTAGAAAACTTCATCCCTTCCTACTGAAATACTATGCTGAACAAAACCTGTGCCAAAATTATTGTGGTGTAAACTGACTAGCTAATTTGTATGGAACATGCAATGTTACACCCTCTTGTGGTAAGACCTTTCAGTAGTCAGTTGTTTTCTTCACCGCACTTCACATGTGATGTCTTGCTTTGTTCACAGTATGGATTTGGTTTTCCAGGTTTAAAAAAAAAATGTAATGTATTCAATTTTCTCAGTTGGTGTCATGAACTTGATTTTGATGTGAAGTTTTTTCCTTTGCTTCTCTTTGTTCCAAACTTCTATTTTGCAATAAACATTTTGACAGTAAATTTTTATGCTTCTGTGTTCTTGTGTAAACTGCTGCTGTTAAAGGGATTGCTCATTGCCTTCTGCTTTGATCTTTTTCATATTATGCAGGGTGTGGCATTTTCCCCTTTTTTCTCTTTATTTATTTGTTTGTAAATATATTTAACATTTCACATCACTAATTTTCCTCTCCTAAAAATGGGAATCATCTGGACAGTTACTGTGTGTAAGCACGAATGGAATATTGAACTTGTGCAATGGTAGAATACATAATGAAATACAGCAAACTGTTGTACCCAAGGTTCCCAATGGAAAGGAAAACACCAGCCCATTTGGAATTTAAGGGCAATTACGTTGTTAATTATTGCAAATATTGTGGGTCTCTGCCTTCACAAGGGTCATCATGGTTTGCCAGATCCTGCCCCACCTAGTTGCCAGCAATAGGTGGATCCCTCCCACCCTACAACCCTCTCCGCCCCAATGCAACTGTCACTTCTTTTCTGGATTTTCCTGACTTGTAATCGGTAGGGTTATGACGCTTGGCCCACACATGGGGAAGTTAGGGGCTCAAGGAAAACATACCTTTCCGTGTGGTAGTCAAAGCCAGCTTCTCATCCCAGTGACCACTTAGCTCAGGCATTGTTGGCTTTGTCTATCTGAGGAGGCCATTTCTCTCCTGGAAGAGTTATGGCAGGAAGGGGTGGGCAGCGGGGCAGGTGTGGGGGAGGGTTAAGTGATCTTCACAGGGATGGACAAGGCTGGTTTGATAAAATAGTTTGTGGTGAGGAAGGAATTTTCCCTGGAAGCAGATTGGCCAATCCACTGGGGTGGGGGAGAGTTGCTTTCCTCTGTGCATCTTGCAGTGTTCAGCAGAAGCTGTAGTGCAAGACACAGGAAACAAGTGTAGGACAGTCTTGAATCCATCAGTGGGAGTCCATATGGGAAGAGCAGAAAGACTTGTCACTAGTTTGGGTGGAAGTCATTGTGGGAGGCACCTTGGCCTGTTGTCCCACAGTCTGCAGGGTCAGGGAAAGGAGGAGACTAATAGATAACAATTTGAACACATGGGGTGGCTGCCATGCATAGGCACAAAGTCTTACAAGTGTGAGGGAGGAATTCTGGAGAGGAGGAACTGCGTCTGCCAAGAGGTTGGGCACTCGGGTGCTTGTAGGCTTGCATAGCCCACAATGTAAGGAGACCACAAAGACTGAGGGTTGACCAGTGAAATCTGAATTACAGTTTGGTAGATAAGTAATTCAATAAATTTTCAGCCAGAGTATGGTGGCAAGAGTTTGGGTGGCACTGTCAATTCAGATACATCTAATTAACAGGATACCAATGAGCAGAGACTCTACAGCTTAGAATAACCCATTCTTTAGCTGGTTAGATGGAGGTTACTATCTCAGTAGGATCTTTCACTGTGTCATCTTCTAACCATTCCTGGGTTTCACTGACACAGCCATCCCCTTATGTATCAAGTAGATCCTGGTCTGATCCCCTCATACTTGAAGAGGGGAATCCTGATCCTCCATATAACAAAGTGTACCATGCATGGGGCTGTGGCATTCAGCTGTCTGTGAAGTGTCCCCTTCAGGTTTTGTTCCACAGTTCCTAAAAGGAATGATCATGCAGGTTTAGGCGGTAACCGAAGGGTAAAAGGGAACAAACAACCTTGTACCTTAATCAGTAAGGAAGCCTAGCTGCAGTGGCCCAGTTCCAAGTCAGTTGTGCTCTCCTTGTTATGCAGTGACTGCTTCATTCACTCTACAGAATATCTCCCTCCCAGCTGATATTGGGAAAAACCAAGACACACCTTTCACTACTGGAGTAAAAGTAGTAAATAGTAAAAGTGAAAGTGAAACAGAAGGAGAAAGTGGTGGCTAGTGAGTCCCACTTGTGGGGATGCGGCTGGTGACAAAATTCCAAGACTGCTTTTGTTACTTGGTGATCTCCTGAATAGTTTTGCCCCCTGGAGGTGTTGGGACTATTCCATCATTGCTGTAATATCACTGAAGCCAACCTGTGATCACTTTAACTAATATGTGAACATGAGGAATGCTACTTTGATGGCACTATTTGTAGTAATCCATGGAATAATGAGGGAAGTCCTTGTCACAACCAGGAGGCTTATGATCTTAGCTGGAGAGGAGGTGCCAAATAAAATCAGCCACCGAAGTAAAACTGGGGGGAGACCTGAGTAAATGATCGGACAAGAAGAGCAATATTACTCTTTTCAATTCATATTTCTCACACAGTTGCTGCCTTCCTTTGATATTTGCGCGTGGACCGAAGAAGATGTGGTAAGCATTTTGTACTAATTCAGTCGGCATTGTTTTGATGTCGCTATAAAAGAAAACTGATGCACATCATAGTAAATGAAATCTAGATTGTAGTGATTTGAGAAATCTGTAGACAAGATTCTAACACTATATATTTTTAAAATTCCTGTTCCAAAAAAGATTTTTAAATTACCCTATCCTGACAGAGGAAGGACTTTATTGCCTTGGTGAAATGGTCACATGCTCAGAGGCCTGTTAAAGCATTTGTCTTGGCAGGTTATCAGTGTATGCTGCTGAATTGTCATAGGCATGAACCAAGCAACACTGAAGGGCTGTAAGAATGCATACCTCACCAGTGTCAGGAGAAAAAGAGGACAACAAACATCATAGTCCCTTTGCCCAACCCAACAGAACTGGAATTCATTTTAAGTTAAGATCCTAAAAAGAGGGATGGGAAACCACTTTCATATAAAATACAAAATGTAATTGCTTTTAGGGGACTAGCTACGATACTAACTTTAGATCATATTTTGAACATTCGTTCAAGTTAATTGGTAAAAAATTTTAGATGTTTATCTCGAACACATCAGTGAATCATAGCAGTTTTAATATCCCTTTTAGCAGCCTTTTGATACATCATATATAACGTGGTCATTTAACTAAAGATTACTGAAGGACTAACTGAAAAGCCAATGCAAAGTAGTAATGGTCCAAGCTGCTGAACTCGTCCCATTCATAACACAACAAATTGCTAAATCTACATTAGGAGCAGTAGCAATTAAAAAGCAATAATAAATTGAGAAAATGGCTGCAAAGCAGAAAGAAATTTATATTAAATAACAAACTTGCAAGATAGCCCCAAAAAGTAAATATAATGGAGAAGTTTGATTCCCTTGTCCCACCACTAAAAAGACTTTTAATTTTGTTTTAAAATTGAATTATGAGCATTACATTTTTTGTGTTTTAAGGTGCTGTAACCTATACATTTTAATTGTGTGACCTTCAAAACTGTTTTTTTGTTTTGTTTTGTTTTTTTTACAGTATTTTTGGCTGCACCAGCTTGTTGGAAAAGGTAAACTATACATTATAGCTCACAGATTCAACTTTTTTTTTCCAGCGAAAAGCACTATGGATTTCTGTATAACCTTTCATATCTTAAGGTGATGCTTCTGGTGAGATGAATGTTTATGCCAACTTGTTTAAGGAAAATCATATCACTGGGAAACGGTTGCTTCTTATAGAAGAAGAAGATTTAAAGGATATGGGAATTCTTTCCAAAGGACATATCATTCATTTAAAGGTATCTTAACAACATGTCTTGATAATCACAATAGTAAATCTTGACAGTGTAATGTAAATGACAGTCTAAATGTTAACAGAATTTTTTATCTAGCATAAGAGAAGATTTAAAGCTAAGGTTAGAAAAACCTTTTTGAGAAAAAGAGTCATACCCAGAAGTTGCTTGCAATAGGCACCAAAGCAAACCTAAACACTTTCTGAGATGCCAGAAAGATTGGTAACCTTGAGTTGCTGATGTTTTGTTGTTTTTTTCTCTCCTAAAAATACCCGTGCTCCTCTGCATTTTCTGGTTTAAGCTGGGATAGGAATAGGAAATATTGCAAAAGACTCTTCTAATAGTATCTCCCACCTAAGTGAAACCTTTGGAAATCTTAGGACAGAACCTCGCAAGACTTTCTGCCTAATCAGAGAGGTTTGGATAAACACCAAAGATGTATTTGAACTGAAATCACTGAACATCTTGAGTTTCACCAATCATCTCTAATTTAAAACTGCTTTGTGTACCAAACACTCTATTCTTGAACAACTGTAAAGCTAGTTGAGTGCTAGTGGGTAGGGCTTCTTTGCTGTCTGAGCTTTATTTCATCCACAAGAGATTGTACTGCTCTAATTATTTAATAGTTTCACTGAATCCAGCAAAACCCTGGCCGGAAAGTAGTAACAGACGTAGTAGTAATAATATTTACTTACTGTCACAGAATATGGCTTACATACCCGTAGTTCTGCTCTGAAAAATGTCTTGAAAATGGCATTGTGGGCTTCCATTATGTCTGAGTGATTCTGTATACAATGTGCTCCATTTACTAGTGAAATGACACTTTTTGTCTGATTGTCAGCCCTGAGAGTCACACTAGGTTATATCTATCTTTTGCATCAGAACAATAAAGGTATTACAGTCCAAATTAATATCGCATTTCTATGGGTTATATGCCATTGTTTCCAAGTAGTTCCATTAGTGACATGTGTGATTGCCCTCCACAGGGGTTGATCAGGTGAAACTTATTAAAACTTGGTAAATAAATGGACGCAGAACACGAACTAGAGCAGCGGTTCCCAACTGGGGGTCTGCCAAGCATGGCCACTCGGAGCACCGAGCCCAGGTACCAATGGGGCTGAAGCCCAGAGCCCCAGTGCCTGGAGAAGCCGCCCCATGGGGCTGAAGCCCTGAGCCCCCCAGCCCCATGGGGCTAAAGCCCCAAGGTGCCGCCTCACCCCAAGCGTCAGAAGCCCCAAGCCCCCTTCATTCCGTGGGGCTCCTCAGCCCCTCCCCAGCCCCGTGGGGCAGAAGCTTCTCCCCACACAGTGCAGCTGAAGCCCAAGCCACCTCCCCTCAAGCTGGGCCATGGAGTTTTTATAGCATGCTGCTGGGACCCCCAAAAGGAAACGGTTTAGAACCCCTGGAATAGAGAATGCAGTTCTTGCTGAGTTGGCTCAGTGAGGCTAAC